CTAAATAATAACACAGAGATTAACACAGCCACACAGAGACTTTCTGATTTGGTACATTAACTTCTTACTCTTTTCATGCTGTGAATGTAAGCTGTAGATGGAGATACAAAGTTCTGTGAAGATTACTGTAAGTACTCTGATCTTCTGAACCCTGAATGGAGGTCGCAGTTGTATAATAAATTGCATTAAAATATAAATGAAAAGAAATCATGTACAATTTTTCCAGCAAGAATTATTCACAAGAAGCTTTATGGAAGAAATGGCTGCATTAGCCCCAATAAAATCCATTATTTCTTTCAGGTAGCTGCTTGATGCTTTGCTAATTGTCTGAAGAAACCTGTATCAGCATCTGATGCGATATTCAGGGCTTCCAAAGACCTCACTTGGCTCAGTGATTTTGCAGGGCTGAGAGGGGTTTTGTTTCACTCATTAGATCAACTAGAGAAAATCCGCTTCATAATATAATGATTTTCTCCTACTCACCAGAGTGCAAAGATGAGCCAGGCTAGCTGATCGACAGCAGCATGGCTTTTTCAGTCCCACGGGAATGATCCTTGGAACCATCGGAGTTAAGAGAAAATCATTCATTGACTGCTGCAATGGAGATTCCTGCTAACACAACGAATACCAGTTGTTTTTAATCCTGCCAATAAATGGCAATTTTCTCTAACAATGGGAAAGAAAATTGCATCTGAAACTGAGTTTCTCTCCTCCCCACTGTGACATATTTAGGGAAACTGGCTATGGTGGTGGGTTTTCTTTTTTACTATAAAGAATAATGCCTTAGAATAACAAGATTAGATCCATTTTCCCTATGAAACATAGTTGCAGAAATTTGAATTAAACCAAAATCAATAAAGCGTGAGCTTTGGAGAGCCCAGAAGAAACTATATTCTCAGTTCCTCTAACTATGCACTGTCAGCCGCTGCTGACACAGGCTTGAATCCAATGTGAAGTTCATCACCAGCACCTGAGAGTGCAGAATTTCTTTAGAATTAATTGGTCAGCTGGGCTTTAGAGAGAGAAATCATAGAATGGTTTGGGTTGCGTGGGTAAAGCTCTGATGGATAGTGTTGCCTGGAACAGCTTGCCAACTCATTGGTTGCCTATCCTGCATAAGCAGTCACTACTGCTGACAATATGACAGCAAATACTATTATGGAAATCAAGTGAAAATGTGTACTGGTCTAAATAGTTGCACATTTCTAAAGAGGAGGGGCTTTCCCAGTGCTGACCTTTCTACATGCTCTCTGCTGTTCCTGTGACCTCAAGACTCTGCCGCTCAGCAGCTGCAATCTGCTGCCTGGAGCTTGTCCGAGTTCAAAACCTAACTCCTCTTCATCAGGAATGACAGCTGAGAGGGGCTGTGCTGTGTTTTCAAAATGCACAAATGTTCCACTGTGAGTATAAATGCTGGTGGAAATGTCTCCCTTCCTGTCCTGTCAGCTGCCATGACTCTTGTGCTGTAAAACAAAGAGTATTTCTGAGCAGAGTGTGTATTATCTCTGTTTTGACAGCCCATCTCTCTTATGCTTGTTGGCATAGTTAAAATGGTGCTTAGAATAACTTACATGCTGAATTTTAAGTGATTCAGACACTACTGTAGTTTAAGTTGTACATGTGTGGACCTTGTCAATGGAAGGAGGGTGTCAGGGGGCTTCATCTTACACAGGTTTTTTATGCTGATAAATTGTTCAATGCCAATATGCTGTGTTTTTACAGGCTATCTTAACTATAACAACTGCACTGCTGTGGTCTCAGTTGCTCTGTGCCACTAGAGTTCTTTTGGGATTTGAATTGAACCTCAGCCCTTCAGAGAACTTCAGAGCACAGAGCGAAAGCAAAGCAATGAACGGGTATTAGTCTGAAAGATCATTCTGTTTTACGAGCTCTATTTACACACTTAACAGGTAACTTTCCATTGCAATTTACATTGAAGTGAACTGGAAGCTTATTCCTTTGTGTGCTATTTAATTTAAGAGGATTTTTTTCTATTTCTCTTAATTTGGAACATTGTTCTGAAGGTACTAAAATTAATTCCACTAACAGTTGTGGTAATTCAGTGGCTATTACTAACTTCCAATTGTTTGTTTCTTTTCATCCAAATTCATTCCAGTTCTCTCAAAACCTTTCATTTACTATGCAGATTAGGTATGATGCATGTGAGGATGAGTTTGCCTTCTTGTGAAATGCAGCTATTTCTCAAAAAAAACCCCATGCTAGCTGCTTCTAATATTTGCATGAAGAAAATGATAGCCTTTTCTTCTACCTAAATATAAAACCAGCAAGTACCTGATATTAATTTTCTCTGTGTTTGAAGACGAAGAATCAGCATCTAATGGGAGCTATATGTCTACCAGTCACAGCAGATGTGTGTGTGTGTATATACATACACGCATATATATGTATGTACGCTTTAGTTGCCATTTGCCAGGTTTTGGTGACAGCAGTACTGTGCATGACAGAACTTAGGTATCTGAAAGCTAGCATGTGCCTGATTTCACAATAACAAGTATGTACATTCAGTCAGTATTTCTGAAATGGTTCCCAAAATACAATTGCTATTTCCAGCCCTTGGGAGTAGCAGGATCCATAAATACAACAAGCCTCTTACATAACTCACCTTATTGCTATTGTGAGTCAAGCAGCAAGGGGCAGATATTTTTATATTTTTTTTTTAGGGTGCTATAGGTGTTTTATTTGGTAACGTGTTCCTTGATAAAGAAATGATTAGGCTAATTGAGGGGAAAGGTAGCTAGAAATAGGTTAAAGAGGTCTTAAAAGTACAGCTTAAAAGAATTAAATCTGTCAGTCTTTATTTAGCAGAGACAAAAATAAACATCAAGTTAGCAAACAGAGGACAATAACAGGAAACAAAAGGTGTAAGGGGCACAGCACTAGAAAAGCCGAAGAATCACTGATACGCCGTATCTTTTCTAATATCTAACTCACAGAAGGAAAAAAAATGTAAGCATGTGAACATACAGACATACCTATGTGTGTATGATGTGTTTAACACTACATTGACTTTGCTATTTAAATGTCAGACAGAACAGCAAAAACTGCTGCAAGGTAGATGGATATAAAGCATCTTTAACTTGACTTATGGGCTTGATGTAAACATGCAAACGCCCCACCTCCCCTTAGTTTTGCCCCTCTACTCACCAGAATAGCAGGAAAACAAATTAATATTATAATCAGATATGGTTATGCTGCCAAATTATACTTTGTTGTCACCAGTCTCATAATACCTAAATTTCTCCCCAGCATCTCAGTTCCACATGTGTGGTTATTATTTGCATTTAGATAGTGCTATAAGACCCTGTTATGGATCAGAATCAATGTAAGGAATGGTCCTTCTCTGAAAGCTTTACAAGGTATGAAATGAGAGAACTGAGGAATACAGGCAGGAGACGCAGCATGAAGAACTGCCATGCTGTATTGTAGACATTACAGGAAAGAAAAGTTTTAAGAAGAGTTTTGAAGAAAAAATATCAGTAACTCTTGGGCTGTTTATAGGATCCTTCTAAATAAAAGGCAGCCAAAAGGATGCACAAAAGAACCTTGTTAAATGTATTACAAGTGAGCTGTGAAACCTGGCATCGTGAATTAGATCTGAGCAGTGAATGGAAATGGCAAATAAGGTGAAGACAGGCTACCAAGGCCTTCCAAAGTAAAAGACATCTGGGTAGGGATCAACATGATAGAGTAGGCTGAGCCAGCACAGGGATGAAAAGAGAGGAATAACATGGTGGAAATGACAGACTAAGAAAAATGGTCTTTATAGCAGCGTTCTCAATAAGTATGAGCAAGACAAGGTTATATTTTCCAAGGCCAAAGGAAAGGATGTAGAGGTAATTGAGATTTGAGAAGATGGGATTTTTAGCTATATGGACAGATTTAGACGTAGCCTGAACATAAAGGGCCAGGGAAAGGTCTGAGTCAAAGATGATTACATACAGACAGATAATAGTGTAATAGATAAAGTAGAGAGCACTTGAGGGAGAAGACTTGACACTATTTTAACTGTACTGAGCTTAAAATGACATTAGGGTTGTCAATTAGCCAGTTTTTATCCAGATGGTCCAGGGATTGGACGCTGGAGTATTTGTGTGCTGTCTGGGCTGATCATGACCCAGGCACCATACCCCGCAATACAAAAGAACAAGGACCAGGCTCAAAAATAGAGACACCGCCTAAATATCACACATGTAACTTTAATAACGTATGCCCTTACAGATCCAAACAGCTACCCAGTGAATCATCAGCCGGGTGACTCAAAGTACGTTTCTTCCAGCTCACATCATCTTGTGGTGCCTGACCATGCAGGTGTGGGACTCACAGGGCGCCTGGGGCTGTGTGCAGCAGAAGGTGAAGTCACACTGAACAGTTGGAGATGTGCTCCTGAGCATCTTTGTGACCCCTCTGGACTTGCTCCAACAGGTCCATGCCCTTCTTGTGTTTGGGGCCTCAGAGCTGGACACAGAACTGCAGGGCTGTCTCATGAATGCAGAGCAGGAAGCAGTCATCTCCCTTGACCTGCTGGTCACGCTCCTTTTAGAATCCTAGAACCAGCTAGGTTGGAAAAGGCCTTTAAGACCATCAAGTCCAGCCGTTACCCCAGGACTACCAAGTCGCCCACTAAACTGTGTCACTGAGGGCCTCATCCGCACAGTTTTTGAACACCTTCCGGGATGGTGACTCCACTTCCCTGGGCAGCCTGTTCCATTGCTTGGCAACCCTTCTGGTGAAGAAACTGTTCCTAATATTCAGCCCAAACCTCCCCTGGTACAGCTCGAAGCCATCACCTCCCGTCCCACCGCTTGTTCCGTGGCAGGACAGACAGACAGACCCACCCGGCGCGCGGCCCCGGGCCCCGCCTCCCCGGACTACAACTCCCGGCAGGCAGCGGGGTTGTGTCCCGAGGGCCGGAGCAGGCGCCGGCTGGTCACGTGAGCGCGCGAGGTGGGCCCGGGCGGGGTGTGCTGGGCGCCGCACTCGGGCCGCGGCGGCGTCGCGGTGAGCGGTTGTGGGGCCCAGTTCAACGGCGGAGCTGCCCCGCTCTCGGCCCCGCTCCCCGGACAGGTATCCGGCCCTAACTCCTGCCCTTCCCCGCGCATGGGATCCGCTCCTCCCGGCCCCCCGCCGCTGTGCTCGGGCGCGGACTTTTGCCGGCCCGGGCCTTTCCTCTGGCCCAGCCCCTCTCCCTCGCGACCCCAGCCACTTGCCTCTTCGCCTCCAGGAGTGGTCAGGGAGGTTGCTGGAGGCTGTTGCGGGGGTATCTCCTTGCCCTCCTGAGCACTCTGGGGACCCGCGGGCCGTGGGCCACCTGTGGACGGCAACCGTGGGGACAGGGGCTCGGACTGAGACTGGAAGGGTGGTAGGACAGGGACTGGGCGGCCCGGAGTGGTTTGTTGCTGTGCCTGACGCGCACCCTGACGTGCTGAATCAGTCTGAGAGCAAGCCGTTGCTGAAGCGCGTAGCCTAGCGTCATTGCTTCAATAGCAAATTCGAGGTTGCTGTTGAACTCTTGATTTTTACCTTTCCCGTAAAAAGAAGTTCTCCCCTGTTACATTAAAATATTCCGAGTGCTCATTATTTCCTTTCAGACTTTTATGTCGCTGTGGTATTGATCTCTGTGTGGCTTGAATTTTTGTTCTGAAGCATGTGTCTGCTTTCAGTGTTCACGGCTAAAAAGCTGAAACCTTCCATTTCAGAGCAAACGTTTTTAGTTGATTTAAAACATGAGGTGACTCCTGCAGATGCTAGATGGTTTCTGCCTGCTGTCTTTGTGCTATGGCAGTCAAACCAATTCCTACTTTTGAGTGATTGATGGTTTTTTGGGGGGGTTGGTTGGCTTGGTTTTGTGTTTTTATTTTCCAGATGCATTTTGTGTAATTAAGAGCATAAGAAGGGCATTAGCTGTACTCTTTTTGTGGAAACCCCTATTTTTCTTGGTATTATAGAAGGCAAATTCAGTTTTCAAGTTGTGTAGATGTTGAATAATTTGCAGGTGGCCTGTAAACTGACTTGTCACAGTAAGTACTAATCAAAACTATGTTTAAAAGGCCCTTGGCTTTTCTGTTTTGGGGCATTATTGTGCTTATTGCTTGCTAGTAGTCATATATTTGTTTATAGTCAACTGCTTTTGAAGGGTAGATATGATACAGGATTGGTGCTATGCAAAACCAAAACCTCTGTCCTGCTACAGTTTTTTATTTAAGATTAATTTGTGGCTTAGGTAGTTAAAAAAGTTAGGCTGTACAGTTATTAACAAAGCTGGTAAGTGCCGTGAGCCTTAACACACAACATACAATGTTTGGGGCTGTATGTAGCTCCACTGTGTGGCAAACATCACAAGAGTTGTGATACAGAAGTGTGTTCAGTAAAACGTGGGATTTTCCCTTTTTGCACTGTTTCTCATCCTATGCTTGGTTAGAAGGAAACTCTCAAAAGATGCACATGTTGAAGAGATGGGCCTGTAGCATCACTGAGGGTGAGCAAAGTCTAATGTATTCCTGATCTCTAGAGTTAGTGTTAACTGGCAATAGTTAATTTGGAATGCAAGACCAATTTAATGAGAAGTAACTGTAAATCTTTAATATAGTGTGTATTCTTTTAAAGGAGACAATTTGTGTAAGAACGCACATTAGGTAAAAGTAAGTTTTGTTTCATGGTCTGTTCCTTCTGACTTTGCCAAGTTACATAGCAGCTTTCATGTGAAAGTCATTCCTGCATGTATTTTGGGAGAGGAAACAAATGGCAGTATTCTTTGGGAAGGGATGAGAGAGGAAATGCTTAACTGTGTGCCGAAAGATGCCTAAATATGTATGGGGAACAGAAGCATGGTTAAAAGTCTGCATACAATTCACACATTAGAAACATTTATCTTAAAGCTTTAGAAGAGAAAGTTCTTTTCAATTCCAACTACTTGATGCCAAGCGTCCTGACACAAAGCATAAAAAGGAACTCTTACTGGCTTTTTTTTTTCTGCAGAATGTTTTTAGTAGCAGCTATTCTGGGGTTTGCTTCCATTCTAAAAAGTAATTTTGATTGAAATATTCTGGCAGTGCTAACAACATCTTCCTACCTGTTTCATTCCTGTCAGGGGCCAGCTACAGCACAAAAGTCAAATGCTGTTTGAAAGTTGAAGAAATGAGCACACTGTTATCCTCTCATCTCACGCTGAACTGGGTGTCTCTGTATTTTCTACGACTGAAATGACTTATTAAACCTGGAGGCTTCTGCACAAGCAAAACCAGAAGTAAGTGTTTTAAAGTAGACTGGGTTACGCTTTTGTGTATGATAGGGTGTTTGTGTCAACAAAATCTAGGTGATTGGTGCATAACCTCTTTGCTGGGTTATTGTTTGTTACAATGGATGGAAAGGCTGTATGCCGAGATGGTGTGATCTGAGTGGACCCATTAGTGCATAACATATGCAGGCAGATATGTAATGCAGAAGTATCAGACTGTCTTTGCTCAGCAAGCTACCTCCCTGTTGCTTGGAAGGGAGTGCACTCAAAAGTATGGTGCTGCCCCATATATGATTTAGGCAGGATAGTCCCAATCACCCCTTTCTTAGGGACTAAAGCAAAGAATGGTTTGTGGATGATTTCATCATAGTCACAGAATCATGGAATGGTTTGGTTGGAAAGGACTTCAAAGGTCATCTAGTTCCAGCTCATTGTTTTAAACAGAGACACTCTCAGAATGGTACTTTCTTAATAGTATTACGTGTATTCAGAGAAGCAAATCATGTAGTGGAAGAAGAAACTAAACGCAGCAGAGGAAAGAGAATGAGTCTGATGCATTGGTTTTACATGTTCTCAGAGGAAAGTTGGAGGAAAGCCCAAGCAGGGGATGTCATTGTAACTGTTAGTATAATTTTTTTATACAGTATATCATTATATAACATAAAATTTCTGTTTCTCTTGTGGAATCATCAGTTATATCTTTAGCAATAGAACTACAGTCACCTAAGGGGATATCTTTCAAGAAGAATGAGCAAAAGCAACTGAAAGCTTTCTTAATAGAGAACTTTGAAGTTGTATTTACTATCCCATAGGCTTTCCTGTCAACTGCATCAGCTTTTGACAATGTGGGAGGTATGCATTCCCTGGAGGGAATGCAGTGTAGAGAAAATAGACTGGGTGGGTTTAGAAAGCCATGGATCAACCTTCAGGCATAGGTTTCCTACAGATGTAATGCTGATTCTAGAGGTAATGTGACAAATGGTTCTCAAACAACTCCACTTGCTTCTGTCATGCTACCTAACATACCTAAATTTAACAGTTACTTGCTATACAGGGCTATGTGTATAGAGGGAAAGCTACTGCTTTCTTTGATCCACTCATGACTGAACTTTCACTTTAGAATTTGGCAACCAGATATTAAGAAAGAGTCAGGAAAAAAGATAATCATGGCAAGAGAAAGATATTATGCATAGAATAATACAGAAGCAATAAGTTCGTAAAAGCAGACAGAAATAATTGTTGCCATAAATTGCAAGGAACAGACTTTGCTAGAAAACAGGCCTTAGCAAATAATTATATTGTTGCTGAAGTAGGTGCTGCTTTTTCTTGTTACTGTGATATAAAGCATGAGAACTATCTAACAGGTCCATCAGTAGATAAATTACTCAATGTCCATGATGGCATGTGTCCTACTATATCATTGCTCTCTCACAAGGAGCTTGTAATTCTCTTACAAGAAAGCTTGCCAGGATAAAAGCCAGGGATATCACCCTAAGCTACATTTTCAGTATAATTTGAAAAGAGGAAGCAATTGAGTTGATAATTAGAAAAAGTAATGTTACAAACTTATGTTGAGTCTTGTTGGAAGTTGTGATTTTCTTTGAAAATGAGGTGGGAGTCAGATTCCAAGAGAAGTTAAGACAGTAAAAAAACCCAACCCACCTTTAAACAGAGACAGCAGAAATATCAATCACGGCAGAACTGAAGTGTTTGGGGTTTTTTACTCTTTCCAGCTTTTTTTTTTTTTTTTTTAAGAAACATATACACAGCAGTGCACAGGATCTACTGCACTGAGAAAATATTTGCCAAGCTTTCCACAAAGCTACTTGTTGGCACTTGTAGAACTTCGTTGTCAGGATACTATTTTTTGTTAGTGCAAGGTTGTCCTTCTAATGTCTTCAAAACTACCTGGTATCGTAAGCCTGTAAAATAGGAGTGGGCAGGCAACTGATCCACTTCTGATTTGTTTGTTGAATTAGCAGCCACTTGACTGTTGTGAACTTTTGTTCATTTGCACTAGTTCGTACTGAGTCCTCTGGGGATGATGACTTGCCCTTTCAAATACAGGGCACAAGAGAATGCTTTCCCTGGGAGAGGAGCTGTTCTGATTCTTCGCAAACAAATTCAGCAGTGGGTGTGGAGTTGTACAGCTTGCAGAGAGTTGGCAACTTAAGGGATTCTGGAGTGCTTTTTTTCTAGAAGACAGGAAGCTGGGTTGAGAATTGGAGCTAGGGAAGCAAGTAGCTCCAGATTGCAACTTTTTGAGAAGTGGTATTTCTTTTGTAGGATCCAGGGTTTTTTTTTTATAATGCATTACTGATGAATTTGATTAACTGACTTAGAAACTCCGTTGCAGAAAGGCAAATACTAATATACATTCTACCTGCACATTATCCCATTGATGCTATACTGCTGGCATGCTTTCTGTGTTCTAGCTATGGCTTGAATTGAGAAGCCTTTTGAAGAGACTTGAAAGCTCATATGGTTTGTCTGGAAAATGTACACTTAGTAACTACATGTGAATGGGGCATGTCATTTAGACATTAAGGGAGAAGACCCACCAGTCTCATATGAGTAGAATGAGTATTGCTTGAGGAAAGGTAAGGGCTGCAGACTCCATTACTAAGAGGTTACACGTGGAAGGATTTTACACCCTGTAAGTGTCTGTGATGGTAAATTAAAAATAGGAGATTCCATGATCACCACTCCATGTCAACTCCACTCTGGAATAAGTACAGGTAGAAGTTTATGACTGGATGTGTGAAGGTGGTTTGTTGGCATGCATCGTAGTCGATACATTCAACTATGATGCCTGAATTGGCATTATTTTGGGCCTGGTTTTAATGTCAGTACTGTATTATTTTTAAATGTTAAAATCTATTTTTCAGTTAAGTAGTCTAAATGTATCAGAGAGCATGGGTGACATCATGGTGAGTAATAATTGAGGACTGGAGGACCTATTCTATGAAGACAGGCTGAGAGAACTGGGCTTGTTCAGCCTGGAGAAGAGAAGACTCTGAGGAGACCTTAGAGCAGCTTCTACTGCCTAAAGGGGGCCTATAAGAATGCTGGAGAGGGACTTTTTACAAGGGTATGTAGTGATAGCACAGAGGGGAATGGCTTTAAACTGAAAAGAGGGTAGTCTTAGATGAGGTACAAGGAAGTAGTTCTTCCCTGTGAGGGTGGTGAGGCAGTGGCACAGGTTGCCCACAGAAGCTGTGACTGCCTCATCCCTGTCGGTGTTCAAGATTGAGTTGGATGGGGCTTGGAGCAACCTGTTCTAGTGGAAGGTGTCCCTGCCCACGGTAGGGGGTTGAAACTGGATGAACTTTAAGGTTCCTTCCAACCCAAACCAGTCTGTGATTCCATGATTTTGTAATTCTAAAATTTTATTACCCTTTAATAAGATGAGTGACTACTTTTGACTTCATTAGATTAAACGCTTATTTACTGAAGTTGCTGATGCTTACGTCAGTGACTCTCTGATATGATAACTTGGATGCTGTTGCTGGCTTGACCCTTGAGGACTTTCGCTTTTCCATGTTTTTTTAAGGATTTATGTTCCTTTATGCTTAATATGTGAAGTGGAATGCTGTTACCTCCCCTTTCACTCCCTTCATGGTTGTTTTAGCTTAATTTTGCTACTGTCTTAGAAATTCCTAGAGCCTTGCCCTGTTCTAGATGTTATTTCTGAAACCCAGTGTATCCTGTGTTATCTCTTCTGTGCAGTCATGATGCTGACAGATGTGGTTTTGTTTTTAGGACCTTGTATTTTATGCTTTTTTTTTATTAGGGGAAACATAAGGCAGCATATTCGTACTGTCTCTGTAGGTTGTTACTCTACCAAATAAACCCCTACAATCTTTGTATGACACCAGCATATCTTGTCATTAGAAACATGATGTTTTATTTCTTGCATCTTCTGTTTAAATGAGGGTGCAAGAAGCTTTTCTGTTTCCCTGCATTAACCTACACTTACCTTTCAAGTGCAGCAAACAGTTGTTTACTAATATGATGCTGGTTTTCTTCCCTTTGAAATAATTCCTTATTTGGCATCAGGTCTAACTATGAAAATAACATCATTTTTTAATTTAGACTGTCAGATGCCTTGCAGATCTTAAATGATTAACCCAGAACACTCATTGCATTCAAGTTTTAAATAATTGCCCAGTTGTAACTCTTTTCGGAAGTCTTCTAGTTGTTTTCTGAATTACTATGACAGCAAATGGAGAGGTTTAATAAATTTTGTACCTGTATTTTTAGGAGAGGCCTTGGAGATGCACAGACTTCTTTCATTCTTGCATAAATCATTTTCTGGAGCAGGTTTATTAGAAGTTTGGCTTTATCCTGTGTCATGGTTATCGATGTGTGATAGAAATTGGAATGCTTCTAGAAAATGTTATAACTTTTTGTTGCTCATTTTTACTATATTGATAAATCTGGTATTTGTAAAAGCATCCAGTTTCCCTTATTATTTGTTTAGATATGTTTAGATGCCCACACAATAACTGTTTCAACATATAATAATATGTCACTAATGTTTTTTCATTGTGTTTACCTCTTAGTATATTCTGTCTCTTCTGTGTGTGGTCATTTAATTTCCTCAATGTTTCCAGATTAACAGTGAACATTACTGACTACAGAAAGTTTAAAACTTCATTATAGGTTAAGTGTTGTCAAAATTGTTGTTGCTCCAAATGATTGATACAGGTACAAATTTGAAAGTGGGTTTGTCCAAAGTTTCAATCCAGTGATGGACAGTCAATAATATTAAATAGCTGGAAAGTGGTGCTCACAATTTACTTGGTGCTGTTTACTTGATCTCAGATGTTTGTGATAGCAAGCCTTTGTCAGGTGCAGATTATGTTGTGCTTGGGAACAAACTAGTTCTTTATATATGTAAAGATTTTAGGCTGACACACGCATGGCTCAGTTACAAATGGTTACAAATTCTTTGGTGTGATTCTGGTGTGAAAGACCAGCAAAATGTCAAATTAGCTTTAATTTGTTTCTGGATCATAAACAATGAGAATTAGTTTCACCAGGATGTTGTTGGTCTAAACATGGCTTATAAGAGTTTTGGTGGTCTTTCCAAGCTGCACTGCACACATCCTCTAATCTGGTGGCAGTCAAGAACCTTAAGAGTAGCCTGTCACTTCAGGTTTCTTAACCCTCAAAAGCTTATTTACATGTTTTGAAGTTTGTTTAGATTTTCTGGGTGGGTATGTGCTTGTGTTATTCTTAAAGAACAGATTGGATCCTTGAATTGACTTCTTAAAACCTGACCTTCAGTGCCTACCCTTTCAAATGTGATTGTGCCTCCATTCCCGTGAATCCTAGGAAGCACAAGTATAAATATAATATTTAATGAAAATACAGATTCCAAATAGTGTAATTGTTATTGTAAGATCATTGGAGCCTACTTTTCTTGATAGTGTTACTATATTAAGTCCTGGTAACTTTAACAAAGCTTTGTTTATTAGTTCAAGTTAAATCTAGTAAAATTGCTTTGTCTCCTTGCTATTATGGATTCAGGGAAGAATGCTCACTGTTTGGAACTTCAGAAGATCATAAACAAAGTTGTCTGATTTGTTTTAAATTTGCAGAGTAATTGTGCTTCTGTTCAGCTGCTGACAAGCATGAGGTTTGCATGGTTTTCAGTTTTTTGTATAGAAGTGCATACGGTGATAGTGGGAAATAAGTGTTTGCAGTGGAAAACTACTTGCCATATTTTTCCCTGTGTGGAAGGACTGCTGTGGCTCTGTGATAATGAGAAAGTTGTAGCTATTTTAAGACTACGATGGAGTATGGTTTTGAATTGTTCATGGCAATATTACTCTGGGAGGTTGCCAGAAGCTGCTGCTGCAGTTTGACAAAAAAAAAGTATTATAAAAGGAAATATTTCATGTTAATTTCAAATGGTTTTGAAATCTTGTTTGCTCTTTTGGCACAGAGGAGCCCACTTCTCTAAGGGTGTGTCTTTGTTTGATCGGTAATTTTAAATGAGAACTTGATCTTCTTTGTTGCCTGAAGATCATAGAAGCATAGAGTAATTCAGGTAGGGTAAGACTTCAGAAGGTCTCCCCTTGCTCAAAGCTTTATTGGGTCTTAAAAAACTCTAAGGATGGAGTCTGCAATCTCCCTAGGTCTATTTTCACTGCCTCACAGTGCAAAAGGAGGTTGGACGGGGGGGTTATTTAGTTTTTCCTTAAGTCATTCTGGAATCTAGTTTGTTTCAGCTGCTGTTGTGTGCTGTCCTGTCATCACTCACCACTTTGAGGACTCTGGCTCTGTCTTCTAAGTAACCACCTTAAAAGTACTGGTGGGCAGCTGTGAGTCCCACTGAAGTGGTCTATTCTTCAAGCTGAGTAATTCCCAGCTCCCTCAGCCTCTCATTATAGGGCAGGTGCACCAGGTTCTGCTCCTCTTGGTGATCTTGCTGTCTAGTGGGTGTTTTATAATGCAAAGTTTAATTACATGACCATAGTTTATTTAGAGAAATGAGGGAAATGTGGGTGGTTATAAATGTGCTTATTTGTATTTGGGTTTTTCAAGTGTGACTTGAATTCAAAGCGAAATGGAGGTAGCACAAAAAAAAATTTCACTAACATAGTGATGTGACTGGCATTAATTTTGGTGAAAAAATTTTATGGATTTACAGGAAAACAATCTGACAGGTAACACCTTCAGTACATATTTATTCAACTTAATTAACTCTAAATAAGCCTGATTTGCATTAGTGAAGTGTTGGAAATGAAAGAGTAGATGGTTGTAATTCTACCGTGAAATACTCTGTAGAAATTGAAGTAGATGAGTAAATTCATTCTCACTAAGTATGTTTAGAGAAATCAGCCTCATGGGGAATTGGGGGAATGTTACACAAAGTAGATTTCCATACACTGAAACACACACACGAGGGTCTGCTGTAAGAGCTGCCAGGCATCTTGATGTTTGAAATTGCCTGGTGGGGTGACAGCGTGGAGGGGAGGTGAGCACTTTCCTGCTGTCCTGTCAGGTTCTACAAAGAGACATTTTTTTTGAGCTTCTGAAAGGATCTTTGCTTATGAGGTTGGGAAAAGTTACAGTCAGTGAGTTGTAGTCAGGAGTCAGATGATTATTTCGGAATCGTAACTCACTTTATGTGCTACAGCTCAGCCAAAACTTAGTGAATGTGCAGTAAGGGAAGGAGTAATGCAGAAAGCAAAGGAGGAAACGGGAAACTTCTAAAACGCTTGATGCCATTCCCTGTGTGAGCAGCAGTCACTGGAGGTAGTATTGAAAGGCATAAAGAATATCCAAATGAGCTTTTGTTCTCCTGGGCTTAGGCAGTGGGTTGGCACGAGGTGAGCACCCAGTATCCCTGTGGGCTTGCGTGACCTCTGGTGCAGCTTGTCTCTCTGTGGCTTTGCTGATGGAGTAGTTGCGTTTGCAAGATCAACACCTAGAGTGTGCCTGTACCTACTGCAGTCAATGTTTCCATTTGGCAGTGCAGGTCTATTTAGGGGTGCCACATCTTTTTAAGAAGTCACTTTTCTAGGGCTTGTTTATGCTCACGTCTCTCTTGGTTGGTGCAACCTTAATTTACATTTATGTGAGCTGAAATTAAAACCACTGTCTATGCTGACGTAGAAAAACTGGGGCTGCTGTGCTTTCCTTTTTGTCCCATCTGGTATTTCTCACTTAAAATATGAACAAAAACCATATGGAAAACTTAAAACAAGCTTCTCGGTAAATATACTTTTAACCTTTATAAGTCTCTCATTATTAGAAAACTTCTGTGAATTAAGGAAAGTAATCTGAACAAATACTTGATGTTCACAAGTTAACATAGCAATGTAAAAAATGTTAAAGCTGCCTTAAGCTTGATAGTATGCTAGATGCTGCAAGGAAGAAAAACGTTCTCTGAAGATTATAAGCTTTATTGTCAAAACTCAGGTCATGGTTTTCCAGCTTCTTCACACAGGCACATTCCTGTATTGTTAGTGTAGCTTCAAAGCATTTTTGATCTGGCAGTTTGTGTTGCGGTTGCTTGTCTGGAACTGTTGCAGTGTCACTGCGAGCTCACTGTTATGCAGGAGCGTGGGCTGATCTGTCATGGTGCAGGGAGCTTGGTGCAAGCTTACCAGTGTTGAGAGGGGAGTGAAAGTGCTTATTTAAGGCTACAGTGTTTCATTTATGGAATAGGCACAAAGATGGTATGGTATGTAATCACCTCTTCCCCCCCCCAACAGTAAGAACTCAAGATTGTACCTACTTGTACGATGGCACAATGGCTTGACCCAGGGTGTGTGACTAGTGAAAAGGAAGTACAATGTGCCACAAAGTTACTGTTTGCAGTAATTTCAGAAATGAGCCTTTTCACAGTGTTTGTTCTAACGATCCCCTGTGCTATGTCAGGAAATGATTGAGATGGTGAATCCGGTATCATGTGATTCTGTCTTTAATCAATAGCATTTAAATAGAAATAAAATCCTTTTCCTTTATAGGAAAGAAATCTCAGGGCTGTTCAGACCGGAGGCCTGTTACTCCCCCTTCTGGTGTGCTAGCTGCAGTTTCAGTTTAGGAAATGGGGAATTGTTTTTAAATGTGAAAGTGCTGTAGAGCATTTTTCCTGCTATGTACTGATGTGCTTGTGATTTCAAGTGCTGTGCCATAATTTTAGGGTTTGTTCCTGTTTTCCTAAATGGAAAGTCTTAATACAAATACTCCAAGTAGGATGCATTTCGTAATATGTATATCCTGTTGCTTAAAACAAATGCTAATGTCTCTTGACTGAACTAATAATAGTATTCAAACAACAGAATTCCAAAATACTGCTTGAGTTGAAATAGACCTTATAATAAGAACCAGTCCCAGAGCTAGTAATGGATTTCTTGGTAGATTTGGATGCTTTAAAATAGTGACCTTCAGTTACAAGGCATTGTGTAATTTTTAAAATAAAGAGCAACTTGCAAAACATTCCTGAAGGTTCTTGATGTCTACCTGTGGACCTCCAAAGTCTAAAATCTCTCCTGTAAATGGAACATAGTCCAGGTGGAAATTTATGTCTCCCAATTTGTGCTTTCTCATCAGATACCCAGTATGGCCTCATCATCAACACCTAAATATAATTCAAACTCCTTGGAGAGTTCCTCAAGTAAAAGGGTGAGTGGAGCTTTTTTCATATGTTTTATGTCAAAGGTCATCAGAGATAATTATCTTCCATATTTTGGTAGAAAAATGAATATTTGAATTTCTGCTTTCTTGAATGTATGTATGTATTTTTATTACTAAGATTCTAATGCAGTTAACTGAGTTGATTTAAAACTTTTTGTAGTGGATACATGAAATACCCTATCTCAAATTATGAGCGCCTCCTTAAAATCGGTTCTAATTTACTCTTATTCTGGCTTTCTACAATGAAATATTCTGTGGCATTCTCGAAAGTTTTGGTACTTTGATGCTGTAGAAAGACTCTCTAGTGCAATTTGTAAGATACACCTAGTTATGTTTGGCTGGCTTGTAATAATAATGTCCATCTGCAGCGGGAAATACATTAAAGTATTCCAAATCATGTTCCCTTCTGCTTTTGGTGCTGTGTGGCTGAAGAAAGTGTAACCTGTGTGCAAGAAAATGGAAATGAAGGTTTTATTTAGGTTTTTAGACATTGCTTCAAAAACAAAGATTATTTTTCTGTTAATCATTCTTGAAAACTACTGAATGTGGGAAAGTCATCAGTGAGTAGATTGTGTGTAATGGTTGTGAATATGCTGCTTAAATGATTTCAGTTGATTTGTTCTTCCAGGCCCAGTGTATTCAGAAAATTAAATGCAAAAAGCTTTCAGAGAACTTTCAGTATAGAAATTTAATTCCAGTTTAATATAAATACAGTTAACTATTACTTTAAAAGGAGAAAGACTAAAACATTCTTATGTTTCAGAGCTGTTCAACCTTCAAATATTTAATAGTTGCAGTTTAGGAGAATGGGGTGTATTCCTGGTATAGTTCAGTCTGTCATTTTCTACTGTGGAAGAACCTGGTTTTCTGTGCAGAAATTACTTCTAAGATGGTGGTGGTTGTTTTTAAATCTGGAACTTGAAGGAATTGTAAATAAATACGATGTGCTGTTGTACTTCTTTCTTTAGAATCTAAAAGATGGAACTAACTGGGAACAAAATGAAGAAATACCTCGTCTGCCAGGAGAGACTAGAGTTACAGGTATGAAGCTATGTAGCTGCCTAGTGCAGTGTGTGTTCAGGAGTCTGCCATATACATATCTTACGTATGGCATATATTTATCTTACTGGATTGTTTCATAATTTGGACTACTTTGGGCTGGGTGTGGGTGTAAGTCTTGCTAAAGTGGCATGCATTTTTTTTAATTGTGGTGTTGACTTTTTATTAGTAATCACAAATAACTTTTTAAGTCTGAAATCTTTGTTTGAATACATGGTAGATCCTCCGATACAAAGAAATGGCAAGTGAAGATCTGTCATAACTGTACAGACCAGGTAGCACATGTCTAGTAATGAGAGCTACTCCAAGCTTTCCAAAGTCAAGAGAATTCTACCCACTATGTATTGGCATCTTGTGTAGTGAACCTTAGCCCAAGCTGACTACCCTAAGTACAGTCTTATGCTTCCTTGACCCAACATGGCATGCATGTAGCTACTATGCACTTGTTAGCTTTTACATGCAGTGGTGTTGTAGCATAAGGAGGATTGTGTACAGTGGTTTGATGGAGGCTCTTCCTGGGATAGAATCTTCCACTGATGGAAATTTGTGTTGGGATATCAGAATGCAATGGAAGTGGTCTGTTTAATTTGTAAAGCTTCTCCTTCCCCCCTTCCCAGGATTTGTTAGGTGGGTTTGTAAAGAAGATTGGCTGAAGTGGAACAAAAGTGGTGATTCAGAGGAAGTAGTTATATTATTAATGAGGAAAGTTGTGGGGAAGGCACGAGGGAGAGTGCGTGGGATTAAGATGAATGTTTGATATGAACCTTATGAAAATTGTGCTTTGGGGCAGCACGCTGGAAAGGGCATGCTTGTTGTGGAAGGCAGATAAATGGATTGGGCTAAAGAAACAAGTGGACAAGGAGAAATAGGTGGTTTGTAGTGCTTCACTTAAGTTTAATGGCATTGCTTCAGTTAAATCTCCTTGTTTTGAGTAGCGTGTGTTAGTACTCATTTTGTTACTGCCCTTGCTGAAACAGTGCTGATGGCCCTCCTGTATTTGATTGCTTCAAATTGAAATATAATGTTTCTCTTCAGGATGGTGAGTTCCCTAAACACTTTAAAGCTGGAACTACTACTTTAACGCAGAATTGGTTACAGAGCACTGAAAGATGTAATGGTATCAAATAGTGTATTTGTTCTGTGATAGTGAATAGATTGGTTTAGTAATCACGGAGAGGAGTTAAATCTACTCCCTGTGTGTCCTGCCCTCTCCTACATAGTGCTGAGAAGAACACAAACATAAATAGAGAAGGCTGCTGAAATGTGCTGATTTAATTTGGACAAGTGTAATATATGAAACTTCCACATTTTCTTAATTCAAGTGCTTAAATTCAGATTTACTGCTTTCTAAATTCATTTGAGTGCAGCTCTCTTTTTATTTTACTGCTACTTAACTAATGCTGTCCTTAGCTCTGATTTTTTTTTTTATTTTTTTATTTTTTGCAATCTCTAAGAAATGCTGCATTTCTTACAGACAAGGAAGTTATTTATATGTGTCCATTTAATGGCCCTGTTAAAGGAAGAGTGTACATCACAAATTACAGGCTGTACCTAAGAAGTGTGGAAAATGTGAGTAATATGCCACAATTACTTCCGTGGGATGAATTGGCTTTAACCCCCTTCCCTTCACCACCACTGCCTTTGATGTATTTTGTGACCAGTTCATTTGGTTTAGTTTTGGTACACACATGCTTGTGGAATTGCATGGGAGGCTTTTTACTTGAAGTGGTCTGTAATGTTTGTAATAACCATATCTTAACTGTGTAATGACTAAATAGTAATTGCCTTTGTGCCACTGTGAAATCCATATTAAAATGGAAGTTCTTTAAAGTTAAATGTGTTGTAAAAATGTGGGTTTGCCTGGTAAAATTGCAGTTTAATCACACCGAACTGATACCTTTATCTTTTGCCTGTTGGAGCTTTTTTTGATAGCTGTTCCTTTCGAACTTATTCTGTGATAGATCAAGAGCAGCAACTAATGATGTGCAATAGCTCTTGAAATGCTTATCAGTAAACCGAGGATTTGATTGTCCTTCCTGTTGGAAAAGAAAAATAGTTTGATTGGTAGAACCTCACGTGGGTGCTGGGAGTGGTAGTGTGTTTGATAAGCAGAGACATGAAAGAATAAAATGTGCTTGTTATCTGTTTCATAATTTATTTTTCTTAAATAAGGTTTTAGGACTATTGAACTGAGGTCTTTCTGGTTGCAGCTAACTCTACTAGTAATACCTTTTTCATTTTGTTCTACTTTATTCTGCATATTGATAAAGCGGTCTGAGCAAGCAGAGGCATTCAGAAATACATAGCAGAACACTTATTTCAGAGTTTTGCCACCTTTGTTCCCTGCATACTGTATCAGGCATGAAGTATTTTTATTGAATGTTCAATTGGATGATGTTCAAACTGTGAAGTGACTGTACAGACTTCATAACATGTTGGCAGGGGACACTCAAACGCAGAAATGCACTTTTGCTTCCTATATGTATTTAATGTCTGCTTTCTGTTCTCGAATGTGTAGGAGCAGTTTGCTTCACTCTTCAGATTAATCTTTTCCTTACTTGAACTTTCCTTGCAGGATCCAGTTGTAGTGTTGAATGTTCCATTGGGCGTAATTTCAAGGATTGAAAAAATGGGAGGGGCTTCCAGCAGAGGAGAGAACTCTTATGGATTAGATATAACCTGTAAAGTAAGACTTTCCAGTAATTCAATAGGAAATGAAATCTGAAGATTCCGTTTCTCACTGCTTACCTATTTATAGGAATTAAAATACAAATTCCCCACAGCTAAATTTAAAAAGAGATTTTTGGAACTGAAGAGGGAAATACCTGTTGTATAAAGGGCTGTCCTCTGTGTGTGAGGAGAGGGACTGGACTTCCTTTCTGAATCACTAACTGATGATAGGTGTTGCACAGCAGCAGTGTTGTAGGGCTTTATTCCTGCATTGCTTCATTATTTCATTTGTTCTGTAAGTAATTGTTTTATAATCCTAAAATTTTTTTGGAGAACACCTCTGATGGGGGTTCTGTAAGGTGTAAAGGCAGTGAAAAGCCTAGGAACTCTCTGCTTCCTTAGTAACACAAAAAAATTATGTCACCATAAAAAAATATGGTCACTGGGGGGTTCCCAGTGGATAATTTGGGATTCTTTGACTCATTAATGGAGTATGTATACACATTTGATTCTTTAGTTAATGCACAGATTGCTTATTTTTGACATTAGTGATGATAAAATAGCTAGGGAGAATGTAGTCTAGACAGATAATTGGCAAATTTTCATTTTGAAAACATAGAGTAATTCCCATCCTGCAAATATTCAATAGCTCAGGAGACTTTTTAGTGAATCAGATACAGTCATTTTTGATGGCTTTGTGACAAAGCAATGTTTGCATTGCAGAGTGTGGTACTGCTTTATTTGTAGAATTCTTATGCTCTATTTTATTTTGTGGGATAAGAAATAAAACTGAACACTCACAATGGCTTGAGGTGTGTTGCAAGCAGATTCTAAATCATGCTTAGTGAATAATATAGCATTTGTATGTCATAAAAATATCTTGCTGCTTTCGTTCACTTAGAAGATAATGCCTTTGTTTCAGGACATGAGAAATTTACGGTTTGCATTAAAACAAGAAGGGCACAGTAGAAGAGATATATTCGAAGTCCTCACAAAATATGCTTTTCCCCAGTCACATAACTTGGTAAGTTACATCATTTATGCCGTTGAGTTGTTTTAATGCAGTGTTCTTGCAAAGTAACTGTTTGACCCACTAATGGACATCATGGTTGCTTAAAAAGCATAACCACAATCTGCATAAACTAAAGAGTTAATGTTTTTATTTTGTACATTTACAACACTTAGATCTACATATTTATAAAATTGTGTTATATGCTATATGTCAGGTAAACTGTTGAATACTTATGATCCATATGGATTTCATTTCTTAGAGACTGCAAGTTATCCTCCCTAATTAGGAAATGCAGTAGTACATGCCTTGATTTCTTGAAAATGTTTGATTTTTGGGGAGCCTCCAAGGCCACGATAAATATGAATAACCGAGAGTTTTACTTCAGAAAAAAGAGACATGTTAAGACAACACTTGTTTTATTGATGAAACTGATAAAAATAGAACAGGCAGCTAATATAGTAATGAATTTACAGATTTTTTTTCAGGTTAAAAGATGATCTAACGGAAGGAATTGAATGACAATGATAACTAACCATTATCTTCTGTTTCTGTGCCAAAATCTGTGTATTGTGCTTGGTGTGGATAATTTTGACAGCTCTTCATTCTTCATTTTGTCTGTTGTAAAATTCAGTTTATGCTTCATTGGGATGGTTTCATTTAGAATAATTGAGTAACTGCTCACAAAATGGTAGAGGGTTCTGCTATGAATCTTTAAGAACTTTGTGCAGAGAATTGTTGAGTCTGAGGCTGCAGCAAGAATGTTATTTCCTTCTCTGAAGATACATGTCAATCAGTAGGCTATACTCTATACACATTTAATTCTTTGAAACTTTTTTGCAGAAAATCAGCATTTTATATGCAAACAGTCTGGAATGAATAAGGAAAAATAAATGCTTTTGGTTATAACATTCCATAATGTTAATGGATAGGTCTCAAGAAATGAAACATTTCTACGTTTGGGTAGGTGTGAGGAGTTCTACAACAGGCTTCTCTGTGAGTACAGGAAGCAAATATATCACTGACTACTGCTGGCGTTTTTTTGCATCTTACAATATGAGAGAATGATTGAAAGCATAACAGGATATATGGACTTTGAAAGAATGATGGAAAAGAGAAAGCTATATGTAGAAAAATTATAGAGAAGTTTGTGTCAAGAGGGTCTTCTGTTGCAAATAGGGCTGTAGATAAGGGTATCCTGGGCACAGTCAAGCTTAGTCTTGAATTTTTCTTTTGGGGTAGGTTCTGTCATGTCTCTGGACAGTCTCATTCCATATTTGATCTCATGGTGAAGAATTCTGTTCCTCCTTACACTGAGGACCAGTATGGAGTTGTATGTAATGCATATGGACAAATTAAGTTGTAACCGACTTAGAAAAGTCCCTTGTGGTTTATTTTTATGGTGTGCAATCCAACTACAGGGCTTGAATAACATGGTAATGACATTTGGACTTGTATGAGGTTTTGTCACCTCAGCTCTGGTGTTCCTGTCTAGCAATGGTTGTGAGTAATATGGGGAGTAGTGCACTTCCTGCTTTATTGTTGCACCTGTTGAGCATAGTACAGCTCATCATTACATGGCCTTGCCCATTCTGAATGTAACTTGCCAATAGAAGTTACACTGAATAAAGAAATGCTCAGTCAAGGCAGAGGTAGTGTTGCCTTCCAATTCAGCAAAGCACAAAACTGGGGAAGATATGGCTGTACTTTTTATCTCTTGGCTATGTTTGGAGCAGGGTATAACCATTAGAAATTATGATTACTTTAGAGTGAAATAAAGTAAACCTATGCTGTATCATGAAGTTGCACCTTCCCTGATTTTCTAATATCACAAAGTGAATAAAAACTTTAAAATGAGCTAAGCAAGTGTGTGATATTTTTGGTGTGCTTTCACCATATTGCAGCAAGCAGTTTAAATTGATCCTGCCAAAGGTGTGTATTTTTGCCTGGTTGTTCATCCCTGCCTTGGCTTTCCTTGCATGAGTTTGAGGCTCTATGATGAACCAGATAGGGGATTAAAGAGACTAAAGCAAAGTAAAAAAACAGAGTAAAAAAAATAAAACAAACAGAAAGCGTTACCCTGAGTTGTTTCCTGTCTTGTCAGCCCAGTGTGAGGATGGAGTTGAGGCATCTGTGGCTGGTTGTGAATGAAGGGTAATGATGGGACTGCCTCTTTCAGTGACTGGTTTAGAACAAGGTTTCACCGTCTTAATTTGACAGTATGTCTGAGCTGTGCATGCCTGCCTTTTCCTTTGAATGTAGGCTAACAGTCTGACCATGCAGCCAGCTCCATCAGGGAAGTCTTTTTATAAAGAACATGCTGTGGCTTCACATGACAGCTGGGTAAAGATGACAGCCTCCTGCTACTCGTATGCTCAGCTCTTTTTTTTTTTTCTGGTCTCCTTCTCTCTACCTTCCAGCGATGTAGTTGATTATTCCTCTTGTACCAAATCGATAGTTGTATAATTGCCAAGTAAGCCAATGCAGCTCACTTACCAAGCACAAAATATTCTGTTTTCTGAGTTAGGCTTGTGACACTTTTAACAATTTGAGGAGACCAGGTTTGAAATGCACCAGAACCAGTGCAAAAGAGGGCATGTGTGTGGAATAGGGAGCAGGCAGGAGAGAAAGCAGAGGGATGTCCTATTTTTATCAGTGTTAAACAGGTAAGTTTGCTCAGACTGCCTTGTGGAACTGTATCCTTGATCTTCAGCTGGTTCAGCGGCACTGATGCTTGTGCAGCTTTGTGGTGGAAAGCAAGCATCACTGGGACAATAAAGGTCTAAGCCTTCAGTGCTGTGATTTTTGTCTGTGCTTTTATATTTTGTGTCAGATTTTTACCTGACCGGTTTTTCTGTGTAGTGGAACTGTGCATATCCTTACTGCTGATCCTAAGCAAGAGCTTTTAGGGATGCCTCACTAAATTTTCTTAGTGTTCTACTGTTGTCTGACAAATAGACGGTAAATGCAGCCCAAAACATTATTTCTCAGTAGAGTGTACGTACTGTTTTTAAGATTTTTCTCTATCATGGTATGAACAGCAGTGTTTGAAAGCCTGTAATAAATCACAGGTCTGTTTGCAACTGTTTGTTAGTTTCTCAACATTGTCCTGTGTGCTTGCTTCCAGAAGCTAATTCTTGTCTCTCTCCAGTTTGAGCACAGTTTAGTTTCAGATCCCCTGGAATCAATAACATGATGTAAAAATCTGACTGGCAGCTTAGTTGATGTGGAACAAACAGCATAATACTTTGTTGCACTTACAGACTTGTGCTAATTGGCAGAAAATTGTTGATGAATGGTTTCTTTTTTAAAGTTTGGGTTTTGTTTTTTATTGAAGCCAACAAAACAAAAAAAATCCCCCCCAAATGTTGTAGTGCCCCACAAAAGATGAGATATATTTAGTCTCTGTAGTTTAGCTTCTGCATAGCAGCTGCTTCACTTCCTGATCTTATCTTGAAACTACACATCATTTTCATAAGATTATTTGCCACCATCATACCTGTGTGATATATGTATTTATTTCTAACCATGATAGCTCTGTGGGAATGCCAGTTTTGGTGAGACACACTGGCAGTCATGCTGTCTTCGACCTCTCCTGCTCCCGATGTACCTAGTTATCCTGATAAAGTGTGTGAGAGTCAGATTATGCCAGTGTTGTCATTGGATCTATAAAGATGATCTTAGATGGCAGTGAAGTCTGGCATACATACCTGTCCAATGGAGACCTTGATTTTGCAAAAAGCATTTTGACTTGGGGCTTCATTCTGAATGACTTCTGTCAATCTCTGTGCAATAATGGTATAAGGTTACCATGTTCACAAATGATCACAAGTTAATTATGTAAATACTGTGATGTCTGATCTTAGCTTTCAGGCAAACAACTGGCTGAGTTGCAGTAATGGCATATTAAAGGCAAGGATAATGGTATCTTTAGTTTTAAACACACTGAGAAACTGACAGCCTTTTCTACAGAGTAAAAGCTTAGTGATCTATAATATATGAAAAGCATCAACCAGTAAGTTAGACATAGAAAAAACAATTTTCTTTGCATGTTTGTAAGACGCTGTCGTAGTTCTGCTGCTTTCTTCTTTTGTAATGCATAAGGGTTGGGGAAGTATTTAATAAATTGTATATATATTATATGCTGAAGTAGCATGTGTATTTATCTACTGTGATTCCATAAGTAGAGTAAATATGTAACCATTTGTAAATAGATTGCTTGCCAAACTGTGTTGTCAGATTGCAGCTGCTCTCTCCTTTATCTCACAGAACTACATTGTGTTGTGAGCAACCAGTGTATCGCATACTATTTTTCTGTGCAAAATGGTAATGATAAATTGATAGTCAAAGGCAAGTACTTAATCTGTAGGAAGACTGAAAAAGAGACTGCGTGTGTTGAAATTGCAGGTTAGCACCTGCATTTTCAAAATCACTGCAAGGAAGTAAACAGAGTTATTTGCACAGTGAAGCATAAAAAACAGCTCACCAAAAACATTGCAAGATTTTAAAGCGTTTTCTGAAGTGAAGCAGTAGCCTTCTGCTTTTAGACTATGGATCTGCAATGAAAACCTGACTTCTGTTCTATGCAAAGAGGCTTTAATTTGCTTTTGCAAAAATCCCAACTGGTTATTATGAATCTCACTTGATTTTACGAACTACAGGTACTGATAAATCACAAGCCTTGCGCCCCATAAGCTTTCTGAGTGGTAGTTTGCTATACTTCTTTTTTTCTTACCTCTTTAGTGCTTTCCTTGATTTATTTATTTATTTTTTTCCATAGCAGTTGGAAAGAATTTGGAACTGATTTCTAGATAGACTAATAGGAATTGCTGGGCTTCCATCAGACATGGAAGTCTGAACCTGAATGTCTCTTGTGTGCAGGCTTTACGTTTTTAAATTTCCACCCATGCTTATTTAATTCAGACACATCTAATGAAGCTGCAGTTGGTATAATAATTCCTGGGAAAATAGGTGGGGTGCAATAGGAGCTGTGGAGAAGTGCTTTTCATTGAAGAGGCAGAATTAATGACAGTCTGAGGGAACAGAATTTCTTGTGTGGAGGGAAGAAATGACTATAAGTTAGGTTGGAGGCTCAGAGTACCTAAAGTATTGTTTGGAGAGAAGGAGAGTTTAGGAGGAATATGCCATAGATACGGAGGGATGGAAAGGTGTGTGGAAGCATTTTTTGCCACCTTTTGTGTGGTGGCCAACTTTCTACTATACTTTGGTATTTGAAAGGCTTGTCTGTGTGCACGATGGTGCACTGAGAGAGGCAGCCAGGGCTTTTCTCTTTGTGGAGCCCTATGATTCCTATAGCTGGTTATGTAGTTTGCTTCTCTGACCTTCTGCTCTCTGCACTCTGAAGGATATAAATACACCCGGGTGGTCCATACGAAATGCCTGCAGGCAGTGAAGTGACTTCCTTGTTTTCATCCTGACACAATAATTGTGTCTGAGGGGCATGAATACAAAGAAACCTGTATGTACAAAAAGCTATGCCGTGTATTTTTACTACGGTAGCACCTGAAATTTTACCTCAAGTGGTCTGCGAACAGTATATTGTGAATGGCATATTTTCTTCCCATAATTTTTCTTCCTGTTTGCCTGCTGCGCTGTAGAATTGCATTCAGTTTATGTGCACTTTGAGAGGTAAGGTTCATCAATATTAAGTTAAATCAGGACATACAGTTACATACTGTGCTTTATCCGTAACCTTGGGTTATTTAGGGTGAAAGTAGAAATATGTGGGTCATTAGTGCAGATGTGAAGCTTACCTGAACTATAATAAATGCTTTCTGGGATCAAAACATGTATTTATCACATTGACAGACCCAGTTATAATGAAGAAATCTATTTGGTTTGCTATCAGAATAATAGAAACTCCAACAAATAAATGTTATTTAATAGAAATTACTTTATGTTGCTCATATCACATTTTTTCTATGAAAAATAATGTACAAATGTGTGCTAAATATGGTTTGTACTGACGCAAGTAAGAAAATACAATTGTATCCAAGCGTATATCTTATGTTTGCTAAAGTGTCAGTTTCTCAGTATTAAAATGGGGTTGCTTGTTACGCTGCAGTTAAACTGTGGTTTGAAATTAGAACTGTGAAAGGAGTATAAATGTATGTGGAGTTTTAAACGCACATTCTGCTACTCTGACTTTTCTACTGTCTCATGTTGGAACGCATAGAAGGATACAAATTTTACTTACGTCTACCGATCTGCTTAAGTGGATATGAATTTATGAAAATCTTAGGTTGAGAAATTGCTTTAAGCTGTATATTGTTGAATAGAACTATGCTATGGTTGTCAGAGTGGGAAAGGAAGCATTTTTACTCTTCGAAACTGCTTTATATATTGCCTTGTGTATTTTGTTGTGAGAGACAGGTCTAAGGTAGGCTGGAGATGTTGCTGTGCTTCAGACTCTAGTATTTATCCTGGACTAAAGCTCAGGCTATCCTCAAAGAATATTTTCAAAACTTGAAAAAACAAGCCTTAAGTGAAAGGCCATTGGGAGTGCTGGGGCAGGATTCAGATCTTTAATCTCTTCTGTACAATGAGTAAGACTTCTAGTAGTAACCACACTAACTGTACAGTCTGTACCCAGTGTGCACATAGAACTGTGTATAATTTGTTTGTTATAATTCAGTCAACTCTTGCAGGAGAAAAGTAATTTTTAGTCTTCAGGTTTTTATATACTGCTCACTTTTAACTAGTGTTCTTGTTGGAGTATACTTGGAAGAGCTTTCTATGAATTGCTTGTATAAAAATCTAAGCCCAAGTTTTGCTCCATACACCTTTTCCTTCATTGTAGTCTCCTGTTACTCGTTAGGCTGCAGATTTTTGCTGAGTTGATTCATTTCCTTGAGCAATATAGGAAGAATTTGAAGAATGAAGGCATTCACTACCGTGAATGTCAACAGAGCTGATGAAGCATAATTGTCAGCTTTAATAGCTGTGGGTTATGTGACTGAAAGCTTTTGCAGCAGATGTGGTAAAGCTGCTGTAGTAGTGTTTTAAGTGAAACATACTTTACGTAGTAGGAAATAATTCTTTCAGAAAGAATTTTGTTCATCTTCTCCTCACGCCTAGTAAATTTATCCCTGTTTTTTAAAAAGGTGAGAACAAAATACACTTTTCCATCTGCATTCTTGTGGGTTATTTTGTGGGTTACATGAACAACGTAGCTGCCGCTTGTTTGTTTCTAGTTTGGAGGTTTGGAGCAGCACCCTCTTTATCAGTAAAATCACCTATGAAATAGTACACTGTAATAAACTTGTATTGCTTAAGCTGGGTAGTTTTTAAGTTCTCGCATGGGATTTGCCGTGTCAACTTAAATAATATATTCCTGCCTTTGAGACATCTTTTAAATGATCTGTTAGGATTCCTGTGTTTGTTTTCTACTGTGATAAGATTCTCTTTTGTCTCTGATTCCTTGGTGAATTCTTAGCATAGTTGCTCTTCAGGATATGGCAAATTCCCATGAGGAGGAGGGGATGGTTTTTGTGTGTAGCTGTTTATTCGCAGTTCAGCGAATCACTTGCATCTACTGCTTTAGATAGCGGTATTTCTATTTTGCTGTATTCCTAGTTTGCAAAAACTTTTTCAGTTTTTTTTTTAATTTAACTTCTGATACTTGCATGTACTTCTGATGGAATTTTTTTCTGATACAGTTGATGTCCACCTCTTTACTTTTCCTTTCTAAATCTCTCCCTCCATCCCACTTGATAGTAGGGTTTTTTTAGGCAAAAGAATCAGTAATGCTTACTTACTCTGAGGGCCTACTACTTTAAAAATGGTGAAGAGGTTCAGAAAACACAACTTGGGAATGCATTGTTCACTTCTGCAAAATTGCCAGTGAATGTACTTGCTCTAAAATACTGATTTAATATAAAAATATGGTTTCTAGAAACTAGTGGGATAAAGTATATTGTGTGAGCAGTGACATCCTGTTAAAATGCTCGTTGATTTGAAACACATGAGGGGAAAACCCCTCCTTCTGGAGGGATTCAGTTTTGTGTTGTGATTAGAGCTGTTTACTGTTCAAACCATTGTACCGTAAGTTCTTAAGAAACCTCTTTCTTAGCGTGTGGTGCACTTGGGAAGCATTGCCTTACCTCAGTAGATGTAACCATGACACCTTAGAAACATGGTTATGGGGCATCTTCTTGCTCGTCAGGTTTGCTGCATTTCTGCTTAGTTCAGAAAAGCAGAAATGCAGCAAATGGTTGCCTTTGAAAATGATGTATATTTGGGATGTTAAGTTTTACCCTCCAGTTTCTTCTTTTAATGTCTTTGAATAGCTAGGAGACTTTCAGCTTTTCTGTCACAAACAAGCTATGATGGGCTCTGGAATGCTCTCTCCTCTGGCTGCTGTTGCTTAATTAGCTCAGGACAACATATTCTCTTCTGTAACAACTTAGTTTCATGCTCCAGTTGGCATCTGAAGAATTTGTAAGCCACCAAAATCCATTTTCTCAATGAAGGAGATTCTTGAAATAAACATTTCTGCTTTCATCATGAACTATAAAAACCAAGGAAGAACTGGGGTTAGTTAGGTAATAGAGCCCACTTGGAGCTGGTTGAAAGGAAAAGGAAGCTAAAAGGTATGAGAAAGTTCTTGGAATCCTGGGTGAGGATGCTGAGTCTTGAGAGTGAGCAATAAAGCAAGAGAAAAGTAGATAGCGTAACCTGTTAACATATTTTTGTTTCACTTTTGGTGGCAACTTTTTAATTTTTATGGAATTTTACGGTAACCTGGATTCCTTTTAGTAAGGGTCAGTTGGGGAGGGGATGCAGAAAGAAGGCTGCTTCCTACTGGTAGCAAATAGAAATTAAAATATTTTTCAGTTTAGCTTTCAATGTAGCTTTCAATTTAGCATCTAATATTTTATGTAGTAATTGCAGATTCACCTATTGTCACTTCTTGTTTCAACTATTGTCACACTTTCATTATTTCATTGCAGATCTGTATTGTTTGTTCTTGCTCTTTGCTTTACAATCTTACACATACCAGATTTAAAGGGAGAGAACGGGGGGTGGTGTGGAAGTGTTTTGTGGCAGGCATTAGGTTATACCTAATGATGATGATGAGCTGTCATGTTTGTCGCTTTCAGTCAGAGCTTGGTGTAGTAAGTTTCCTTTACATCCTACAGCTTTTTTTTGCATTTGTGAATGAAGAAAAGTTTTCTGAAAATGGATGGATGGTGTACAGGCCGATGTCTGAATACAGGAGACAGGTGAGTTATCAAAGTTGCTGTTGCCTGATGCTTTCCTATCTGACAACTGACATAGAGGAATTATTGTTTGTACATTTCTCTTATGAGCTCCTTTATGGGGGAAGCCGAGAATGGGAGAAGATGGGAATACAGTTTGAAAAAGAAAATAAAGAAAAATAAACCACTGGAAGCTTTAAAAAAAAAAATAAATTAGAATGTCACAGGAAGGTAGTTCTTGCTTTTTGAAGGAAGCTATTGATACCTCTTACAATGTGCCACTGTTAAATGAGCAGGGGACAGGGAGAATGTGCCAAATATGTAACTACAGTGTCCTAAATATAGGTTTGATTTGGTCTGCACCTTCCTAAAGTGAAGGAGGGGAGCAGATTATTTTAGAAACAGCATTGCTTTACAGAAGTTATTTATGCGTCTGTCTGTATTCTACCTTGCTCTTTAGGTGATTTCAGAAACATGTCAATGAAAGAGGATGATATATTTAACTTTAAAATGTCATTTAGGCTATTTATTTTTGCTTTAAATATTACTTTTTCTTTTAAGCAAACAATAAGGACTACCTTGGATGTTTTTGTCCCGCCATAGTTTTCTGGTTTGACATTTATATGTCTAAGATTCAAAAAAGATAAAATATAAACGTCCACATGTGCATGAACCCCACTGTGCATGTGTAGAGGGCTTATCAGTCTTTCTCAGTTTCCTGGCTTCTGTTTATGAAATGCCTTACTGAGCAGACTGCAGCTAAAAGTTCTTGTTTCTCCATAAGTAAGCTACCCTGAATCTTATTTCTAACCTAAAGCTAATATGAGGCTACAGGGAGGAAGGGTTGAGGTGAGACTTCTTCCCCGTCTTCTCAGAACCATAGTTTCTTTTCAGCAAAGGAAAATGGAAAGGCAGAGCTTTGAGGGAGGAGAGAAGGTGATTTTGTTTCCTCAATCCCACAGTTAAAGAAATACTTCTGCTGGTTTTAGTCACTGCTTTGAAACTTGTTGCAAGAATAGATGCGTGTAATAAGAATAGACCTGTGTATGTAAGAGCATGAGAGATAGTTGTTTAAAGCTGTGAATCCCATCAGCAATGAGATGTTTTGTGTGGTTTTGTAATATTTTTTTTTCTTCTACTGTTTTGAAACTGTGCTATAGTTTAATTAAATTGGTAGGTTGTTGCCACCATGTGGCCATAATGTCATGTAAAATTCAAGAGCAGAGTTATTTCTGCAGCTGAAAGTACATTGAAAAAACTTTGTGTTATGTTTTAGGGACTGCCTAATGATCGGTGGCGAGTAAGTTTTATTAATGAACATTATGGGCTGTGTGACACATATCCATCACTCTTGGTAGTGCCATATAATGCAACAGATGATGATCTCAAGAAAGTTGCTGCCTTTAGGTCTCGAAATAGAATCCCGGTGAGTATTATGAGATGAAAGCTCCCTTGCAGTGTATGTAGTTTTAAGTATGCATCCAAACAGTATTTTGCTGAGCATGACAGAGGATGCTTTTTTGGAAGTGGTTACGGCAAAAGAGTTTTGATTGGCTGGTGGTTTTTCTGCTTGAAAGTAGTGTCTTGGCCAAGCCACAGTTTTGTTTCCCCCCTGCAACAATCTCCCATTCCAACTTGGTTGGTTTTAACTTGACTTTTCTATGCTAGCATTGCAGATTCCCTTTTCTTAATGAAGTATGAGCCTCAGACTGCTATCTGTACTAGTTTATTGACTATTGTTGGATACACGTAAAATGTGATCGCAACTGTTTTCCTCCTGTAAGCAAACCACATGGCATTTAAACATAGTTCCAAGGGTCAGTCCTAAAATAAGATCTCATGCGTAGTCTGTGGAGTGAGTTCTTGGGTTTTTTAGGCCTTTAAACTGGGATGTGCAATTTAAGATAAACCTATTTGACATTTTGGGTATATTGCTGTAACTAAAATTCTTTGAGGTGAGAGAATTTTTATGTATTGGCTCCTTACAGCACTACAGAAAATACTTGTTTGTGTCATAATACAATCTGCTTTAACTAGTATTTCCATTTGGCAAACTCGAAGAGGTGCTAGATTCTTAGCCAGTATCAGAAAGCTGCCTTGAATCTCAATTTCAAACGGATGCAAATCGCAATATAATAAATATTTATTAGATATGGTATTCACTAACTAGTGAATCCCATCTCTAGAATAGGCTAGGCCTGTAATTATACATTTACTATATATGCACACACATGTGTATGTATAATATATAATGTGTATAAAATATATATGTTTTATATATATATAGTGGGTGCATAAGTTCCTATAACTGGGCTGTATCTTCTCAGTCATCTAAAAATTCATGACAGGGCTTTTGTGTGGCTGTACCTGTAAGAGTCATTTCCTTGGTAATAGTAATTTTATTCTTGTCAAGAAATAACCAGTCATGCTCACCCCCACACACACTGACAGGTCTCATGTCTGGATATTTCCTTGGGCAGCTCACTACCACTTGTTTCTGGTAAGTGTCCCCTATCTCACAGGAACAAGAAAGGCAGCATGTGCTTTGCTCCAGAGCCTCCTCTTTGTAAAGAGGGCTGAGGAACAAACTGTGCTTTAAAGAGAAGGTTAAGCATTCAAGATAGTGCAGAAAGGTTCAACTTTCCTTCTTTGCCTAAAAAAAGGAAAAGTTCTACAAGAACTGGAGCAGCTTAGTCATAGTTTCTACAATGAGTTCATTCTTCTGAATTATTAGTCTCAGCAGACATTGCTGTGTTTGTTTCCAGTTTGCTTTTCAGAATTATTTGTGTAACGTAAAACTTGTAGGAAAATATTAAAATACTCTGGATTACATAGGTTAGTATAATTCCAGTAAGAGTTAAATGTGTAAAAGAATGGACTCTTTTATTATTAAATTTTATGAGCCTAAAGTGGAAGCAGTTGACATGTCTGGGGATTATCTTTTGAAGAAATAAAGTAATTGTTAATTTTCAGGCTATCTATTTTAAAGAATAAATTGGATTCTAAAGTTATTAGAAGAAATACATTTTATTAAAAATTACTGTGGTTTTGACATGTGAATAGGTTCTGTCATGGATTCATCCAGAGACTCAAGCTGTTATTATGCGCTGCAGTCAACCCCTTGTTGGAATGAGTGGCAAGCGGAATAAAGATGATGAAAGATACCTTGATATCATCAGGGAGGCCAATGGGCAAATCTCAAAACTGACCATCTATGATGCTAGGCCCAATGTCAATGCTGTTGCAAACAAGGTAAACAGATGCTTAATCATCATATTTGTGAAAGAAGGTGGGGAGAAGACTGAGTTTGAAGTTTTCTGTGAGGAGGTTTTTGGGAACATTAATAATATTAATACAGATAATTTTACATAATCAAATATATATTTGCATAATCAAATACTATGGCTCAAGGCCATGAAAGACCTGGCAGCTCTGAGAATACTGCAGCATCTGAGGAAGGACATAGCACAGAATAGAGATACTATGCTACTATACAGAAATGTAGGTGGTACTAAAGGGGAAAGGCTATACTGTACTTCAGCTTATTGTCTGATGTGTAGCTGGTGGCATAATGGCTTATAAAGGCAAAATTTATTTATCACAATTCATGGCATGACAAGTTTTTGTTATCTGCAGGAAATGCTGTGATTTTGCAGCTCTCTGAGGCTGAGGGACCTGGAATTGTTTAGCTCGGTGAAAAAGAGATTCAGGGGAGACGTTATTGTTCTCTACAACTACGTGAAAGGAGGATGGAGTGAGGTGGGGGTTGATTGGTTCTCCCAAGTAACCAGTAACCATAGGACAAGAGGAAACTGTGCCAGGGGAGGTTTAGATTGGATATTAGGAGCAATTTCTTCCCCAAAAGGGTTATCACGCATTGGAACAGGCTGCCCAGGGCAGTGGTTGAGGCACCATCCCTGGAGAAATGTAAAAGCTGTGCAAATGTGGCCCTTAGTGACATGGTTTAGTGGTGGACTTGGCAGTGCTGGCTTAACAGTTGGACTCGGTGATCTTAAAGGTCTTTTCCAGTATAAATAATTCTATGATCCTGCCTTTGGAAAATCTCATCAGTGGCACTGTGTCCTAAAATAGTGTGGGTTTCTGCTTACTTCTGTGACCAGGTACATCCTTTGCTGTGGTGGTGATTAAGTGCTTTGAGAGAGCAGCAGTAGTACAGACTTCTACTTATGTGGTTTTTTAATTTCTTAACATCTAAATACATGTTTAGCCTTTAGCAGTAAAATTTAATGTTAGAAATGTAACTTTATACTTTAATGTTATTATGAACTTCTTAGAGGCAGAATCAAAGATTCTTGAACGTAATTCTTAAATGTAGCTTATTCTTGACACTTGAATTTAATTTTATGTATCCAAACATTTTTGTCATTTTTTTCTAATTGTATATCAGTTCAGTTTTAGTAGTAAATAACCAGGCAGTTTAAACACAGGAAAGGAGGATTTTTTTACTTATTTATTATTTAGTTTTATTTATTGGTGATGGTTTTTTTGGTAGCAAATTTGCTCTGGTAAATCTGAGATTCTGCTCTCTTTTGAATTAGTGGTGTAAAGAAACAGACAAATCCTTTGAATTTTTTCCTAATTCTTAAGAAACAAAGAAATGAGCAGTTTTATCCCCTGGAAGTGGTGGTCTTTTATGTATTGAGTAATTGTTGTTTTGTGTGCTATACTTTACATTTTAATTTAACATTAATAATCTGTCTGGGAAGTCAGTTGGTTTCTTTTGTATTCAGAATCATGAGTTTGTTTAGTCTTTGGTGGGAAAAGTGAACATAAATAAAGAAAAAAAAATTGACATTGTAATGTCAGTTGGTCAAGAAAGGAACAAGGCTACCTGAAGCAACTTCAGTGTCTTTCTGGCCATGTGCTGTACTTAATAAACTTTGTCCCTTTGGATAAACGAAAGCCCCCTGGCAATTCTTTGCCAGAATGTGCCCCTCCAAAGCTTGTATCCAAGACTGATGTTTTACACAAGCAGCTGAAATTCCATATTGCCCAACTACAAAATAAAGTATAAATAAAATTCCCTTCTTGCTCCATTGAAAAGTTGCTATGTGCGTGCATATATACTGAAGTTCATTTTAGAAATGTTGTTTGTAGGCAACTGGGGGAGGATATGAAAGTGAAGATGCATATCCCAATGCAGAACTTTTCTTCTTGGACATTCATAATATTCATGTCATGCGGGAATCTTTGAAGAAGTTGAAGGACATTGTTTATCCTAATGTGGAAGAATCACACTGGTTGTCAAGTCTGGAATCAACCCATTGGTTAGAACATATAAAGGTAACATTTTACTGTTTGTTTGAGATAACATTTGTCTAAATCTGTTGTATCAGACTTGTTTTCTTTGTTAGACTTTGCTATAGTCCTGATATGAAACACGTCAAACAACTTGGACTGCAAAACCAGTCTCACTGAGTGTTGGCTTTTTACCAACTTGTCTTAGAGTATGTTATGAGATCTCATTACTAAGCAACAGTAGGTAAAGTCAACATTTATCGTCTGCTTCAAGTCAAATGTCAGTCTTTAAAAGAGGAATGCATTGTTATTCTGATTGTGTATTGTGTGTGTGAGAACTGATGTATTTTGTTCTCTAGCAGAGCAGGACTTACAGGTAAGTGTCATTGTGAAGGGTTTGTAATTACTTTAGTTGTGAGTATGTATGTGACTGTTTTGTGAATAATGGTTTTGTACATAAATCTTGTAAACTTTGCAATTTCCATCTTGTGGAATAAAATACTAAAATAAAATACTAAAACTGGTAACTCGCCAGTGTTCTTACCAGTTGTCCTTTGAACCTTTTGCCTCAAGTACAGCTCTGCAAAAGAATTGAACATTATGTAAGGAATTCTACTTAATAAATTCTTAATTTTGTTCGTATTTGGAAAATAAACATTAAAATTGTACAAGTCCTTTTTAAAGGACATATTAAAATTGTACAAGTCCTTTTTCCAACAACTGAGACATTTCAAGTCATTTAGTTAAAAGAAGGGAGACAAATGAAAAACAGAATTTTTAGAATATATCCTATGGTAAATCTTCTTTCTTCAAAAAGCAGCTTATGTTCTTCAGTTTATCCAGGTTACTGTTTTCTGTCCTATTTATTAAGAATTTGCTGTGAGATTAATTAGATCTTGCAACGGATTAGGGAACTAAAATCTGTTTTTATACAAGAAATTTACTTGATCTCCTAGAAAATTCTCTTCCAATTAGTACAGCATGCTCTTTAGGTCTTTTAATTGAAACACTAACAATTTAAATACTGTGTAGATACAAAGAAATCAGTTTTTTTTTGTTAGAATGGTAATACTGATATGTGGTTGGTGTCTGTTCCTCTTTGCCAGCTTGTCTTGACAGGAGCTATTCAAGTGGCAGACAAGGTATCCTCAGGAAGGAGCTCTGTATTGGTTCACTGCAGCGATGGCTGGGACCGGACAGCCCAGCTAACATCACTGGCCATGCTGATGCTCGACAGCTACTACAGAACTATTGAAGGCTTTGAAGTCCTGGTGCAGAAAGAGTGGATAAGCTTTGGACACAAATTTGCATCGGTAAGAATTAGAAGATAATTGCCACAAATGCAACATTAACATTCTGAAAAGCTTTTAATGTTAAACTACTCATTGTGCTAATGTTTTATAATACTTATCATTACTTTAGAATTCTGATTTAAAACTTTTCTAGGTAGATCTGAGCAGAGGTTTTGTTTTAGACCTGTTTGGTTAATATTTTTTTACCATTCTTCCTCTGAGAGCTCATATTTTGTCCTTTGCAGCCTTTTAAAAGCACAGAATTGCTAGGGTCATATGTGGTTTTTGAGCAAAGAAAATGAGAAGGCACAAAAATTATGTCTTCCCAGCTTTTCAGAAGAAGGTCAAATAAGGCTGGGACATGAGGCTTCTCCCTCACCCTCCTTTTGGACTATTTTGAATCTTGTGAGAGGCAGATGCATCTGGCCAGTGCCTTTGAAGTGATATTTTAGCACTTCTTCCCAAATGCTCTAAACTTGTCATAATAGCTCTCAGGAGGCTGTCACTGGTAATGCTGGCTCTAGCTCTGTTGAGTTGTCTTCTGAATGCTTAGAAGGTTAAGTAAAATTGTCCATAGCAAGTCCTTAATACCCCTATCCACGTGTAATTCGAAGTTATGGGTGTTTGTGTTAAGAAACTTTCCATTCAAAACTTAGTGAACTTCTGTTAAATTTGGCAGCTAACCATTTAACCAGGATATCTATGTGGAGAACATCTACGGAGAGGAAATTTGTAGAGAAGCAGAATAGGTTGCCAGGGAGAGTGTGCTGGGGTATGTAACCATACGACAGAAGTTGGGAGCTTTACAAGACTCTTCCTTGTTCATGCTGAACCTTGTAATTAACACCAAGAAGTTTCCACATCTTCAGTAGAGGTTATTTGTACAGTTTGTCCCTAGTAGAATATACTAAAGATATTATTTAATATTGCTAAAACTGGGAAAATTGGCAATCTGGAAAATTAAAGAAATGGACAGATATGCCTATGTGTGTATTTCATGCCCACTTTACATTTGCAAGAGTGTCTCAGTAATTTGGAAATTCACGTATAGCTACTCGGCATGAAGCACTGCATGGCTTAAGTGCGCTTGTAGGCTGTGGCAGGCCTTGATCTGACATTGTAAAGGTGCTTTGAGGCTTGGGAGATTTGCGTTTTGATTGTTGAGAGTAATATCTGCAGTAGTACATTTTATTTTTTTTTTTTTGCATCCTCACCTGTAGTCTTCAAATAGTGATGTGTTACATGAACTTTAGAAGTATTCTATCTTGGTACAAAACACTGACTTGACTTTTCATTCTATTGTGTATTTTAAAAAATGTTATAGTCATGACACAGATAAAATCAGCTTTTATACCTAGGAGATTTGCAACCTAGCATATGTGTTGTACAAAGCTTAAAAAGACGTGTGTCTTTCACCACGATGAATAAATTCAAATCATCTATGGTTCTTTTCATTATACCATTAATTTTGCTTTGAGTAATCAAAGGAGCTTGTTATCTTTTAACAGATGATGTTTTCCGCCTGCTAGTGAGGCAGGACTTTTACACATCTTCCAGATGACTAGCTCAGTCCACTGGTTCATCTCTGACAATGCAGCAGCAATAAGGGTGATTTAAATAGCTTGCCGTTGCTTAAACTGCTGTTTTATTTTCCTGACTTGCTCACTTGAGTAATAATCTTTGGAAATGGTTGAAGGCACTTTCCCTTAGCCATCTGCTGTTTTCTAGGTGTACTGTATATTTATATTTGTTGTTTGGCTTATAGCGAAAGCAGTCCTTTTCTGGAGTTTTATAGAAGTAGTGGAGTCATCATCCCTGCAAGTATTTAAAAGTTGTGTAAATGCGGCACTTAGTGACATGGTTTAGTGGTGACTTGGAAGTACTGGGTTAGGGGGTGGAGTCAATGATCTTAAATGTCTTTTCCAACCTAAACAATTATTTGATAAAAACTGGTAATGGAAGCAGAAAATACTGTGATCATACATGCAGTATTTTAGTTTAGTGAGTTGTAATAGTGAGGATTAGGCACTTCCTGAACCTCATCTCTGGAGCTGTTGTTGTTATGCCTTTCCTTAATCAGGGATTTGAAGAAGAATAGGTGTTTCTTATATTGTCTGGGTTAGAGCAAGGTTCATGTTTTCATGAACTTAACAAATAACTAAATAGTAGACTACTTAATAGCTCCTATCTATTATTTCTATCTAATGAAGTGTGCAATAAGTTTCCTTGTTGAAAAGGAATTCCCCTACCCCAGCTGTTCTATGTGTAGTGAACTTAATGCACTATCCAGATGATAGAATTGCTTGCTATGTGGAAAGTCTTACAATGCATTCTAGTATAAGAAATATGAGACAAACATAATTATAGATGGAGAATACTCAGACATCCTAAAACTGCTAACTGTAGTGGAAGTGGAGGGACTTTCAGTCCTTACTTCAGACTTACTGAACACATGTATGGCTCTGTTAACAGATACCATGGATTTTTAAACCAGGAAAACTGGACAGGACGGAGGCCAATTTGTTTGTGTTCCCTGTGGTGCCTTTTCTAGCCATTTGCTATTGCTGAGTTCAGCTGTTATCAATCCCTCATCTCCCCCTATTTCCTGCCGTTCAGTTCTACTATTCTAAACTATCTTGCAAGTCCTTGCACAGAGTAGCATACTGGTTTTATGATTTGTCACATCCTTAAGACATTAAGCTTGCTATCTTGCGGGCAGATAGACAATATCTTAGTTCAACATACATGATTGTCTTTCATCTCCTCCAGGTAAATACATGCAAGCAGGATTATAGAGCTAACAGAATCTCTTCTCTGAATCTCTTACCTGTTCTCAGCTTTCAAATGTGAAAGAGAAGCTTTTAACAAACCTACTTCTTGTCTGTAGGGAGAATTCTTCTGTTGCTTTGGACTCTTCACAGAAGGTGGCTTACCCAAGCTTTGAAAATGTTCCATTATTTCTTTGTCAAGACCATTAATGTTAACTTTGAGCTCTTTCATGTTCTACCTCAGGGTGAATCTTTAGGTTGTGAGGCAGGGGAAGAGAATAACCTGTGTGGATAGTTTGATCTAGGTTCTCTGGTGACTTATATACTTTGTCTTTTTTTGTAATCTAACTTGGATTTTGACAAACTTGCTACATAAATATAGTTTGAAACAAGGCTTGTTTACTTGCAAAGTAATGGATGCTTTAACAGTTCTGCTTATCCAATAACCGGGAGGTTTTTATAATGGAACCAATTATTCCTTTGGAATATTTCTCAGGCACCTTTGGAACAGCTTTGCAGTATTTCTGTATATCTGAATCTCTCCTCAGTGCAGTGACTAATTTTGAAATCATAAGAAGAAGTTGCTCTATTACAGAAGTGTTAATATTCTACTGCAAAATAAGAAACCATGTCTGGCCATAAAATAGACTGTTTTGGTTAACAGGAGGCTGTATTGCTTCATTTCAGAGAATAGGCCATGGTGACAAAAATCATGCTGATGCAGACAGATCGCCCATCTTTCTCCAGTTCATTGATTGTGTGTGGCAGGTGTCCAAGCAGGTATGTGTTGTTCTTCAGAAGGTAACATTAAGAGATTACTGAATTAAAAACCTAGAGTTTTGTTTAAACAAAAGTATTTGCAGAGGACAGCATACCCCTCTGCTCTGATGCTGTAGCCAAAAAGCATGTTTTTACTTCTAAACCATACCATCTCTCTTAATGTATTTCCAAAAGTGGTGTACAAGCTCTAGTTTTGTTGCATAATCCAGCATTGGCTATGCATGGAGGGCTGCTGTGTCTTGGATCTGGGCTTCTCAGAAACACATGGAGAGATGTGACCCAGCAAAATGCTTTTACCAGAATTGCGTCCAGCTATTTCAGTAGGGTCTGTGTTTCACTTCACCAGTTTTGTAAAGCTGTCCCTTGGAACCCAAGAACAAATGTGCTTTTATCAAAGCTTGGGAGCTGTTGAGTGCTGTGATTTAAACATTGCATTTTCAATAAGTAAGGAAACAAAACAGCAAATTTAGTCTGTTTATGTCAAGAATTAGAAATAGTCCTTATTTTCCTGATTGGTGCACTATGCATATCTTATTGTTTTGTGATAGTAAAACTGAAACCGTAACCATTCTGTATTTTATTCTTTTTAGAAATTAAAGGCAGTTAGAACGTTTTGAGAAGAGTTCTTTTCATTGACTAGTTTGAGAAAATTGGAACACCTCATGTCATCTGTGCATTTACTCTGCTATAAAGCATATGAAAATACTGCCTTAAAAAGTATTTGTAGATGCATTCAGGCTTCTAAATGCCACTTTTAGCCTCTTAACCAAGGCATGTGCATCCCTCCATGCTTTTACAATGTAAAGAACAAATTTGTCTTTTCTGGTTTTAGTTTCCTACAGCCTTTGAATTCAATGAGCAGTTCTTGATTGCAATCCTGGATCACTTGTACAGCTGCCGGTTTGGTACTTTCTTGTATAACAGTGAGTCTTCTAGAGAAAAAGAGGTTAGTCATTTTCTGTCTAAAAAGCTGTGTTAGTTAGAAGCGTATGCTTGTGTATGTTGTACTGTTGCCTTGACTTTAGATGATCACAGACAGTTTTGGTTGTGTTGTATTTGGTTGTATTCCTTGTATAACAGTGGTTTTGAACTGCCTTTCTCATTATAGAATAGTTACATGGTAAATTCTTTGGGTTTGGTAACTTAAATACTATATGGTTACTAAAAGATTTCTCAAGCACTGGGCTTGGAATGTTTCTAATACAGTGACTTAGTATAGTAACTTACAATAACTTATGCTTCTAAATAAATCAGAAGTGTATTGATTTTTAGAATGTAACCATGGCTTCTGTGATGGATTTTGTGTAAATATTTACTGTTCTTATTTTATTTTAGAAAGTGGCTGAGAAAACCTTGTCATTATGGTCTTTGATAAACAGTGAAAAATCTAAGTACACCAATCCTTTCTATACTAAAGAGCTAAATCGAGCGCTCTATCCGGTAGCCAGTATGCGTCACTTAGAGCTCTGGGTCAATTACTACATCAGGTGGAACCCAAGAATTCGGCAACAAGTAAGTAAATTCTCTACAATGTACAAAATGCTTTTAGGCTTTGGAAATAAGGTTTTGTGTCATAACTGACTTGTAGAATAGTCCTGTAATCTGTTCAGGTTTTTATTATTATATTTTTAAAGATGGAGGAAAAGGTGAAAATTATTATTTCACAAGTCATTCTCGAGCTCCTTCTAGGCCCTTGTCTTTGGAACTGGGCTTGGGAAGCATATTTTAAGGGCCTTTTGATATACTAAAGGGTGAATGACAGCCCTTAGAAATAGGGCTTACTGATCCCTGAACAGTTGAGCATCACAAATGCATGTAGTTGCATTTGCTTAAATCTTTCTCCTTTTTTCTCAGAGAGCCTATGAAGTATTCTACACACTAAGATGACCTATTCTGTCCTTTCTGTTATCTGTATTGATGGCTTATGGCAAGATATTTTTTTATGTAACTTTAATGACTCAACATTGTTTGCACTGGGTAACAGTTGGATAAAAGCTGTTATTGAAAATTATACAAGTGGATCAGATCAGAAGCCCAGGAACGCTTTTATTAAATTATACACAGTTCAGTGCTGTGCTTTCAATGTTTAATTTATGGATACTCAATGTTTGTTACAAACTTGCCAGAAATTTCATCAATGTGGCACATAGTGTATAGAGATTCATTTGTCTTTCTTAACAAGTTGTGGAGTTTTGAGTAGGAGAAAACAGAGGAGGAAATTTGTTGACAGAAGCAGTCTTCCTAATGCAGCCCCTGGAATGAATCAGGAGTTTTCAAGCAGCGCACTTCCTTTTCTGCAGCTGATCTCCTGCATTATTTACAACAGGAGGCTGCAAGAGAGGCAGACAATTTGCTGTGTTTTCTTACAAGTATGTTGCCAGCTTTAAAGTTTTACTTTTAAGCTTTTGTTGCTTGCTGTGAAAAATGAGGGCATTTTGCAAAAGGTGAACCCAAAGATTTATTTTAGAAAGTGAAGGGTTATAGGGCAAGCAGATTAGCTGTAAATCTAGTTAAAAATGCACATTGCCATCATTCAGGAAAGATTTTTTGGCAGAAATTTCTCATTAGAAATGCAAACCTGTGGGATAATCTTCTATGTTACTACTACTGGTACCACATTTTCACTACTTTTATATACAAAATGCAATTTTATTTTTTTTCTGCACATGAAATTTATGCTTCGTCTTGACTTAAAGAATTGAATAGCTTACATGTGGCCTGAATCAGGTCTTTTTATGACCTTTCTTAGTGCCATTACTTAGAAGCATGTTCTGCATCAGACTCAGACTTAAGCCTGATGAAGAGTCTGATCTGTCACTAGCCACATCATTAACCCTACATCTCTAATCATCTTAGTAACTACATTCAGTGATTGATCCACCTTCCACAGCTGGCATCTCTGTCAGGGGTGCATAGCGAGTGGTACGCTTCAGAGCGTTGCTTCAGCCTGTCTTGAATTGGTGAGGCATTTACATTTGCTTCTGGAACTGTGCTGCTAGTAGGTTTTAATTGCATTACAGGCAGTTAACTGTGAAACAGCAGCAACTTTTTGACAGTTATATACAGCTGAGGAGAACTTTCAGCTATCTGCATTTTCCATTTGTTTCATTACACTATCTGAAAAAGGAAGCAGTTAAAATGCTCTTTCAAGTGAGCAATCTCCTGAAGGCTGGGGCAGTTGATTTTAAACACATTCAAGCTTGCTTACAGAATTCATTATTTTTTGCATTTATTTCACTTGTTTATTTACACAAAGTTGTGAATTTGCTATTAAAAACTGCAGGAAATTTCACCAGTAAGGGAAGTTTAATCTGAAGATATGGATTCCATCGTAATCTGATTAGTGCAGCTAAAATAGTCTGTTTAACACTATTTTAAAGGAAGATGGTGAGACATTTGATCTCTGGAATCTAAAACTTTCTAATAAGTCAAGAAGAGCAAAACTTTTGACAAGATAGTCACACTTATCTTCCTCACACTGTTAGATATTAAGAAAATAAAATCCATATGCTCCAGGAAGTGCTGGCTGGTTTTATTGAGGTGGCAAGAACTGTTTTGTGTAAAGATTTTCAGTGGATGAGAACAAGTGAAAGACAGAGGGCTCTTGCATTATAGATATAAACATTTCTGTTTAGCTACAACTTGTTACATGTGTTGGAAACTACAAATGCAGAGTAATGCCAGGAAAGCACAAATACTGCAGCAGCCTAACTGCGTAGAAGTAGTGGGACTGAAGTGACAAGACTAATATAGATTTCTTTCTAGCAGCCAAATCCAATGGAGCAGCGATACATGGAGCTTCTTGCGTTACGTGATGATTATATAAGGAGACTTGAAGAACTACAGATCACAAATAATTCCAAGATATCCAATTCATCAGCCTCATCGTCATCTCCCTCACAAATGGTGTCCCAAGTACAAACACATTTTTGAAGGAAATGTTGGCTTCTTCCTGTGCTGTCCTAGCAAGCGGTGCTTAACGTAGATTTATAGCATAAAGAGGAAGATTTTAATGCCTTACATTAGACTCTCCTAACAAAGTATTTTAGGCTGTCTTCACTTGAGGACAACTTCAAAGCAAACAAAACCAACTTCAGTTATGTGCCTTTCAGAACCAGTGGACTGGGAACATTATTAATCAGCTTCTAGTTACGGAAGGCTTCAAGAATTATTTTGGAACATGGTGCAATTGAAGTGAATTTGGTTTCATTAAGAATGCTTTAATTTATTACACTGTAGGTCATCTAAGGAAATTCATGCTCAGTGTTGCATCTCATGAGTAAACCACTAATGGCAATAGGAATATCCACATTAGGTAAAATTAGGTATTGTGTATTCCTTTTAGGAATACCTTTGTGGAGTTCATGAGAGAAAAAAAATTCTATTGTAAGATTTCAGAGAGAAGTGTTGAAATTTTCTGGTTTTTGAAAGAAAAATATGGAAGGGGTTTCACTGAAATGCTTCTGATGAAGAAGTTCAGGTAGTTCAGTAGATAGTAAAATAAAAAAATCTATTTTTTATAAAAAATAACCAATTTTCAAATGACAGTTGTACTGGATTCTGAGAAGCCCTGTTTTGGCTAACTGTTCAGCACTAAATTATCACTGTTGGCAATACTGGTTCTTTGGAGTAATACAGAGTAAAATGGTTCTAAAGAAGGTTTATATCATTAAAAACAGACCCCCAGAGACCTTGTTTAAATATCGAGCAATAGCCATAGTATAAATGCTTGTGTTTGTCTTCTAAAAGTAAATGTGCCTGTTTAAAGGAGCTTTTATACCAAAGTAGTCAAAAAATTTCAGTTACAAATACTGTTGAAAACTTGTGCAGTTATAGCTTACTGTTTAATTTAACTTTTGTTCAACAGACATATTAAGTATTTAAGGGACTTCAGTATACGAGAGTTGCATGTATACACTGAACCTTCAGTAAATTCTAATTTCAAGCCTTCATTTCAGAGGCTTCTTGTAAACCTTAAATTTGTTCCTTTCAGGTATTTTTTTTTAAGTAGTTTCAAAAGTAGCACAAACCTTGCTGCTTGATATTTAATTAATATTTTGCATATTCTCAGAAGTTTAATGATATTCAGGCAGTCCAGGAAATACTGCAATTCCCAATTTGTAAGGGACTTTCATATTGTTCTTTTAAAGGAGATATTTTGATTCTTGAGGGTTTTGTCATTGTAAATTATTGTACATGTGGTGAGTTTTGATCTGCAAGATGTGATAGGATTATATATAAATTAAGTTCTGTGTAATTATATATTATATTATTAGAAATTCTGAAAGTTTATAAAGTGTAAATATTTTGCATATGAAAACTAAATTTAAAGCTAGTTGCATAAAATAAGTTGAAGTTTAGAGGACATCTGAATATTTTTAGAATGGTATTTTTTCAAAGGAATAGAAGTATACCGCCTTGTGATTAAATTCAGTAGATACACTGAGTTGCACTATTGTTTTCAGGGAAGCTCAGAGCATACACCATGCAAGTTCTAAATATGCACGATTTATGACTTAATTTTATCCTCTAAATTTCATTCTCCCATTAATGTTCTTCACTGTGTGCTTCCAAAATAACAATGTTGTCCCAAAATCTTGACTTGATAAGGTAAATGAGATGCATTATATCTGATAAATGAAGAAGGATCCTTAATTGTTCATGATATATTTACATTTTGAAAGCTATGCATACTCGGGTATATTTGCCTTCTATTGTGGTTTATAAAAAAAAAAAAGCTATTTTTACTAGAATATTTGAAGTTTCTGTATTTGAGTTGAACGTATTGGGGACATCTCTGAGCAGTGTGGAGAAGTTCCAAAAATCTAGTTGTTTTACTGTGTAAACACTACATGTTAACCTGCTGCATTTGGGAGAGTTTAATATGGAAAGGGATCTTTTTGCACTTATTACATATATACCATTCTTCATATTACTCCTTCAGTCGAATTTCAGTCTTTGAAGCTCTCTAACAGGTCTGTGTGGGCTTGGATTTTTTTTTTTTTTTTTTTCCCATTCAACAGATAAAGATACTTGTTTTAATTCTATTTTTTACATGGCAATGGTAGGCAAACGTAGGTGTGTTTTTAATACAGTACTTTCTGGAAAATACTAGTTTGAAGTTGTGAATGTCAGCATACAAACTGATTTATGTTAAACAGGAAGCTCTTCTTCCCCTTGTGTGCATGATCCGAGCTGTCACTGTGCATGTTGGGCATTGCCTGGTGCTTCCATCCCTTTGGACCATCCATCCCCTGCAGCTGACAGCAAGCCTGGGGCAGTGAATGAAGGAGTTCCAGGTCCTGTGTGCCCTTTCCTGGAGGTGTAAAAGAGCAGGGATGTAAACATCAGCGGCTCTAAGTGCTTCATGTCCCATATGAAATGTCCACCTCAGAATGCTTCCTTTCTTTTCTGTTGTTGTATTTCCATGGACCTGAGTAGATAAACTTTATAAATAACTGAAGCCCACTACACAAACTAGGCTCTGTGTTGGATGCCTTCTTTATTTGGGTATTATTGGTATCCCTTAGAACTAATTTGTGTACTACCTCCTTTTGATGTGTTTTTCTCACGCTGCCTTGAGTTCAGTTGTTGCCTCGCCGTGAGCATTTTGTCATGCTTGAGGAAGCAGCCTCATAACCTGGCCAGTACTCTCCCTTGGTGACCGTGCCCCTGGAGACCGCAGCACTGCGCTGGAGCCGGGTGTGACTTGTGAAGCGACTTTGGGGCGTTGAGGGGGAGAGTTTAACATCCGTCTGCCATGTACGTGTGTGAGCGGAGAAGCAATAAACATGATGTCCGTTTCAAACCCTTTACCTCTGACAGGCGGTTTACCATGGCACGCGGTCCATGCCTGCCCGGGCTAGTGCCAGAGGGGCCCCCGTCGCCCTCCCCTCAGCCCCGGCCCGGCCTTCTCCCGCCGCGCGGGGCCGCTGCCCGCCCTCGCGGCGGCGCGGAGGCCTGTGGGTAAGCCTAGCCGCCAGGTGACAGCTCTCGGCCGCCGGCGGGGCCCGAGCGGGCCGGGCTGAGGTGCCAGGGCCGGGCCGGGCGGTGGAGCGGGGCGGGGAACGAGGAGGGGCGGCAGCCCTCCATCCCGGCGGCGCGGCGGGCACCGCCGGCGGCCGGAAACATGGAGCGGGCGGCAGCGGCGGCTGGGCCGGCGGTGGAGGGCGGCGGCGTGAACCGGCGAGCCGTGCGGGCGGCGAGCGCGGCGGCAGGGGCAGGGTCGCGGCAGCCCAGCACGGAGACTCTGGACAGGTGAGCGAAGCCGGCGGGAGAAGGCGACTCCGCTTCCCGCGCTCGGTGCGGGGCGTCGCGGCCTGCCCTCCGCGGAGGGCGCCCCTCGGCCCGCGCCCCGGCGCAGCGCGGCCCCCTGCCATGGGGCGGGCTCTCCCCGCTTTTCCGCGCTTCTCCGTGCCCCGAAACCGGCCTGGAAGCGGGCGCGGAGCCGGAGGACTTAAATCTGGGAGTTCACTCCAGTGCGCGCGGTCTGACGGTGGATTGTCCCCGGCGGGGAACCGGCCGTTGTCAAAGTTTCCTGCTCGCGGTTGTGTGTTTTTCATCATTACCGTCATCGATGGTTCGGAGGAGGCCGGGGCTGCAGGGCGGAGCTCGGGCCGGGTGTTTTGGGGCAGTGCGTAGCTTCTCCTCTTCCCGAACTCAAGTGAGGCTGTTCTCAGCCTTTAAGGGTTTATTCCCGATTTTGTTACTCACTTATTTCTCATGCACGCCTGTATTTCCCCTTCAGCGGTGTAACTGATTTACCGTCGGTGCGTGTGGTGGCTCCGCGCCTGGTGCCGCCGGTGCAGGTGCTCCGGTGTCATACAGGGGCTGGACCTGGCCAGGTGTTGTCACATCTCCTTGTGCACTCACCGACACGGTACCTCCTTCCTTTAGAAGGTTCCAGCTGGCGGCAGACTACAGAGCCGAGTTCAAAAATCCTTAAACAAGGGGTAGAAACTAGCGGAAGCTTCTCCCAGATGAAAAATGAAGAAAAGCCACTGTATTTAAGAATCACTGCCAGGTTGCAGTCTCCATATTCTCTCTATATTAGGAGAAATCTGGAATTTTAGATTCTTCTAGTGAAGGTGGAAATCAAATGTCCATTTTCTGTCACTGAAACTCACAACTTTGTATTTCCTGATAATGCGCATTCTTATCATAGTCTCCTTGTTTCTTCTCCTCATCTTGTTCTACTCTGGAAAAGTTATAATGTCCATTTTTCATACAATTTACTTATTTGCCAGTGTGGTTGTACCAGGCTGTGCTGATGTGCATGACCTCAGGTGAGACAGAATGAAAAGACATGTGCTGGTATTTGACCCACTTGGCAGATGGTGATAAGTCACAGCTGTGTTCAGCATCCTAAGGTTCACTGATACATCCTCAGACACTGATTGTAGAGATGGAGCTGCCTTGACATTTTTTCCTCCTGATGTTGTCTTTGCTGATGTAGTGATACCCGATGAAGATAAGCCATAGAAAAATAAATCCTTTTCTTGATTGACAAGTAAATGCGTATTTGGAAACAAACTTAGGCAACCCCTAGGAAGATGTACTAGAAATTAAGAGATGTGAAAGAAGGAGAAATGGATGGGATCAGAAAAGGTCAGCTCATGCACTCTATTACAAAACTGCAGTGAAAAGTTTCCTTAGGTGAATCTGGATTCAGGTTTAGCACTAACCTGACAGTTGCCTTCATTGTTCAAGCAGGAATACCATAGATGTGTTTTAGTTGCAAAACAACATTTTGGGATCTAGTGCTCTGTAGCATCTTGTAGGTGGAGAGAAAACTACAAAAATGTATCAGTTCTGAAAGAGCTTTCATGTCAGTTGTTGCATGCAGCTTCACCTTGTATCTACCTATACTAGCAGAGTCAATGTGTGAAAAGACTTCTTGGTAAGGTGAATTGGTCATCTTATGTGAGGATCCCACCCTCTTATTGTCCAGGTCCTGGTGCACCTGTTGGGTGCTGAGTATGAGCTGACTTCGGTGTCACTGGATACTCACAGAATCCAAAGCTGGTTTATGAATGAATTCTAAAAATGAATTAACATTTTCTTTCTGTATTTGACTTCCAAATAAGCATTAAATCTGTGGAAGAGCCCAGCTGAGCTGTTTGAAGAGTTAGCACTTAGCTAAGCTGTGGCTGCCCCGGCGCTCAGGGAACAGTTCCCTCTGACATTCCCAGTTTTCCATCAGATACTGGTGTTTCTTGAAGCAGACCTAGTGCATTTCAAAGTGGCTGGCAATAAACTGTAGTTGTTTCTTGGTCTCCATACTATGTTATTTGTGAGCAGCGCTAGTTCAGGAGACTGTTCTCAAGACCATCATCCTGGGTTTAGTGCTATTCTGCTTTTCAGATGCTTTGTCCCTAAAGGGTTCTTATAAACA